CCATGGTTTTGTACCTATCTTTCCCTGTTTATGAGGTTGTTGACCTGTCTATGATGGTGGCTTGACCCAACAATCGGCCTTCAGAATAGTTTGCAATCCTGGGTTTTGAGCTGAGATGGATCCGAAAAAAATCGCGTCTGTCTTAACCCTGGCCCTTGACTGTTGTCGGTGATAGGTCAAGGCCATTTGTAAGGTGTTTCATCATTTTCATGGTTTACCTATCTTTCCTCCAGACTGGAGCCTGACGCGGACCTATCCCCAGATCTCACGATTCGTGATCCACCAACTTGACTAAATTAAGGCTCTTGTGCTTTGTCCAATCGTCCTTCTCCTACGCCGTGCTTAGCATTAAAGGAAGATAATGATGAAATCATATCCATGAGCAAGTCTACATGGAGGACTCGGTAATTGAAGATCAACGGATTTTCTTGCTATTCCTGGTATCTATCGAAATCAAGCCTAGATAATGCATGGACCCAGCGAAAGTCATTGACATTATCCAATGTACCAGTACACAGGCTGGTGCTGAAATGCGTGTAAACACAGATATATATGGACTCATGATAGATTACAGTGGGCGACTCCTTTTTTCGACTATCACAATCAACATCTCTATCATATGAACCTACCTTGTTCGGCCTTGTTCGACTTCTAGTCTACATTATCCAGATCTCCCTCTCTCCAGAGTTCAGCCACGTGTAGAACCTTACATGATGCTGGTGGATAGCTAGCTGTCTGTACATACCTTCCCCTTCCGAAAGGTAAACGGTCATCTGCTTGTCATTTGGACGTGTTCAGCCTCACGCGTTTCATGTGATTCCACTGCAGAGCCTCGTGTGGCATGGAGTCAGGCACTAAGAAGCGAGTCTAATTTGCTCTGTGAACTCATTATGAATCATCACAAACCATAAGTTAATACTTTGGCAATATGAAGCTCTTTAACCTAGGGTTCATGTCCACTGTTGCTGTCGGGTTCCGACGGAATGACCAGTTTACCAGCGGAAAGACGAGGTAGGAGGAGGATGATTCGCATCGCCGAGATTCCCATTGGCTGAGCTTACCTCGGGTACTGCCAAACTGTCCAGGACCGCCAAATTCGGCCATCCCACGGAAGTCCCACCATACCTAGCCTTCTAAGTCGCACTTTGGTTTGTTCACAGGGCTTCTTCTGTTCCTTGAGGATTAATTAATTTCTTCTCCGAGTTTTTCTTCTTGGAAGGGCTGATTTGCCATGTCTACTCATCGTCTGTAGACTTCAGAAGTACTAAGAGTGGCAGTTCGAATCCCCTGTTGCAGTTTTCTCCGATATCGCTATGGCTTCGAAAGGAGCCGTCTTGCCTCTCTTGAGGCGCGAATTGCACACAAGTCGCACACGACTGAATAGAGCTGCCTCGTCCTTTTCGACTGTTGCTACAACCGTTCGAAACACGAGACCTGTGTCCACTAGGCATTCGGCCCGCCACACCGCGCTTTTCTCTCGGAGACAGCCACTCGGCCAATTTCGTGCGTTTTCGCAGTCGCTATCGACAAGGCTTACAGATGAGCATGGTCATTTCGATCCGCGTCAAGTAGAGAGGGAGTCGGATGAAGTAGACGTGTGCATTGTTGGTGGCGGTAAGAGCTTTCGTCTTTGCCAGCCATTTGTGGCTACTCATCGTCTGGTGGCTGACTCAATTGCTTTACCAACGCAGGTCCTGCCGGCCTTGCGGCAGCTATCCGACTAAAACAACTTGCAAACGAGGCTGGAAACGAGGAGTTCCGTGTTATTTTACTGGAAAAAGCGGGCGAGCTGGGCGCACATATACTTTCAGGCAATGTTCTCCAACCAACGGCAATGAATGAGCTTCTGCCCGATTGGTTGTCCGAGGACAACCCATCGCGATTTGAGGGCGCAACACCAGCGCGGGAGGACAAGATGCGCTTTTTGACCAAGAACTTGTCGTTCCCGATTCCCGCCCCGCCCCAAATGAATAATCATGGCAACTACATTGTCAGTCTGAACGAGCTGACCAAGTGGTTGGGTGAGCGAGCTGAGGAATTGGGCGTCGAGATTTACCCTGGATTTGCCGCCAGCGAGTTGGTCTACAATCGGGATGGCTCCGTCCTCGGCGTCGCGACGAACGATCTTGGTGTTGGTCGGGACGGCAAGCCCAAGGATAATTTTGAGCGGGGTATGGAGTTTCATGCTCGCGTCACTCTCCTTGCCGAGGGTTGCCATGGTAGTTTAACGAAGCAGGTGATCAAGAAGTACGACCTCAGACGCGATAGCCAACCTCAGACTTACGGTATCGGGCTGAAGGAGGTCTGGGAGATTCAACCGGAAAAGTTCAGGTCGGGAGAAATCGTACATTCTATGGGATACCCGCTTCCTTCGGACACCTACGGTGGTGCCTGGATGTACCATTTTGGAGAGAACTTGGTCAGCATTGGGTTGGTGGTTGGTCTGGACTATCCCAACCCGTGGCTTTCGCCTTACGGAGAGTTCCAGAAGCTCAAGCACCACCCCTTGTTCAAGGAGGTCTTAGAGGGCGGTAAATGCATTTCCTATGGTGCCAGGGCACTCAACGAAGGTGGCTTCCAGTCGATTCCCAAATGTGCTTTCCCAGGAGGCGCTCTCATCGGTGACACGGCTGGCTTCTTGAACGTTCCCAAAATCAAGGGCACTCATTCGGCTATGAAATCGGGCATGTTGGCTGCGGAGGCTACTTTCAATGCTCTGCAGAATGACAACAACGGTACTGTCTTCCTTTTCGAATACGAGGATGCTCTTCGAAAGTCCTCGATCTGGAAGGAGTTGCACGAAGTGCGCAATATGCGGCCCTCATTCAAATCCCCGCTCGGTCTTTACGGCGGTATCCTCTACTCCGGCTTAGAAGCCTTCCTGTTCCGCGGTAAAACGCCCTGGACACTCAAGCACCACGGCACAGATGCAGCATCCACCAAATCGGCATCTGAATGTGAGAAGATCGAATACCCCAAACCTGACGGCGTGATCAGCTTCGATATCCTGACCAGTGTGAGCCGAACGGGGACGAACCACGAGGAGGACCAGCCGGTCCATTTACAGGTCGCTGATTGGGACAAGCATACGGACATCTCTTGGCCCAAGTACCATGGCGTTGAAAACAGATTCTGTCCTGCTGGCGTCTATGAGTACGTCGAGGATCCAAGCAAGGAGCACGGCGTTCGCTTCCAGATCAATGCCCAAAAGTAAGTCTTTGTCTCTTGTGCGCATTTATGGAGCTGCATGCAGATACTAACGACGCACAGCTGTATCCACTGCAAGACCTGCGATATCAAGGTGCCGACACAGGATATCAATTGGCAAACACCTCAGGGCGGAGAAGGCCCTAAATACTTCAAGACATAAGCCCATACCCCTTGTAATTTCTCCTTCATTTTCATTGTCTTGCATTGTTTCTGTGTCGTTTGGAATCGATACTTCGAGCTCATTCCTCCGCCGACTTCCCTCGATCAACTCTACGGGTTAGAGCATCCTTTCACCCTGCTGACATTTTGTATTGACTGATATGTTCTCCCTCTTGGGTAATGTTTGTACTATACAAAAGGATATACACCAACTGACTACAGTACGAGGGGTGTACATGAAATGTACAGGTTGATTGGATATATCAATATTTACGCATTACGTACTACACTAGCATACCTCTCTACGGAGTAGAAATTTACATCTCTCTCTTGGCAAATTCCCACAAGAACTTCGGAGGCCCAGATTGATCTTTGGGGCTGAAGTTGAGCCCCGTGGGGACCGAAGAGCTGAACCATGGAAATAACCGCGATGTTTCCAGAGATGGCAGGATCTGGAAGAATATAGCTAGATTCTTAGATGATACCCTCATATCCGCCGCTATCATCACAACATTTGTAGTAGATTGAACTCTAGGTAGCGTCAAGAAGAACAATTTAAACTTTAGAAGCTTAGAGTCTTTCAAGGTGAGGCTGTCGAGAGTTCTCAAGGCGATTTGGGCGGAGCCACGTGGATCATCAAAGTGAGGCGGACCGGCCATTTCTGATTGATCGATCACTTTTCGCATTGTTTCGTCCACCGTCAGAAAGAGGAAAAACTGACTGGAAGAAACACATCTAGTCTACTGATTGCCAGACGATTTACTCTGTACTTAGGTAGGGAAAGACTGGATAGGCTGGTATCGCAGGTACGTAATCCTAGGCAGGTAGTGCTTTTGTTCTGGCGGTCAAACAAACCTCCACCCTCTCGACTTTCTCTCTCTTCAACCTCACAACTCTCACTCTCATCTTCCCTCTCACTCACCTTTCCTTCTACTCCGTATCTCACTGTCCTTTCTCGCCTGGTATATTGACCTGATTGTATCTAGCAACTTCTCTGTCCTTCCAACCTGGCCTGGTTTCCATTGTCCAACCCCGGTCGTACGAGCCACATCTGGAGAATCTACCCTTCCACTACGCGGGATAACAGGAATACGCTGCCATACTAATCTCAGGACCACAACTATCTGAATCCCAAGGCCCCTGATCTTTCGCTAATCTTTGACCTGGATCATTTTGGCCACTACAAGTCCATCGGAAGCCAGAATCATTCTGCTGTCTAACCGCCATGACTGAGGTTTCCTCCACCCGACTTTATCTTGGGAATCTTCCCCGCAACGGTATGCAGGCCTTTATCATCAATTCTACCCTTTCCTAGGAGATATTCCCGTGTGTGTCAACTTGGATTCTGTAAACCGTCAATTTGCGCCTTCCAAGACAACTAGGAGAGCCCCTTTTGGATCACCTGGTCTTCCCATAAGCCCTCATGGGTCTTCGAACTGTTTCCTGGGATCTTCCTTTGTTCTTGGACATGGAGATGTGGAGGGGGAACAAACATCTCCCACATCCTAAGTCTCCGTTTATCCCGGCCTGCAGCACCTCAACCTCTACGGATAGCGTTTTGTTTTGGCAGTTTAACCTTGCGCCTTTCTAGACTGCTCGTTATTTGTGTTGCGATGAGCTGACTTTTGCCGATGGCGCCCACGTTGGCGTCGTTGCCTTTCTATTCAGTGACCAAACAGGACATCGAGGAACACTTTAGTAGCCATGGCTCAGGGAAGATCACAGAGATCAAGTTGATGAACGGATTCGGGTTCATCGAGTACGAGGATGCGATGGATGCTAGAGATGTGGTTCCTGGTAAGATTTCCCTGAGTAGCAGCCCTACCTTCACTTTGGACAGGATAACCTCGCTAACAACCCACCATCTAGCATTTCGTAAGTTGTCGATGCAGATGATTGACGTTATTCGCTTGGCTGATTCTATAAACAGACGGCAGTGATTTCAAAGGCGAGCGACTTACAGTCCAGTTTGCGCGTGGACCACGGCGCAAGGAAAATTTTTCTGGCCCACCGGATCGTCCTAATATGCCTCGTCCTCGTCGTACGATTTTCCGCATGTTGGTTTCTGGTCTTCCGGAAACAAGCTGGCAGGTTAGCAGCCCATCTCTCCTTCTCCTAGGATTTCCTGGATACCACACAGCCTGGCCACTCAGTGTTCCATGAGCCTTCCATTGTTCTCAACACCTGTCCTTTGACATCCAGGAACTCGACCCCAGGATCCATGAGACCAGAAGTCAATACCCATATTTCAAGCTCATACAACCTATTTGGTGGTGACATTCCCTCGGCATGTATCCAAGGACATTCAGATGCCACAGTCCAGATGGTCGCCATCTGGATGTCCGCAATTTCCTTCTTGAATGGATGACGGTGTGATCACCATGGACTCAAACAAAGTCTTGGAGTCCTTGGGTTGCGACATGACCTGTTCCTGTTTCGTTCCTTTCCAATTATTTGTGTCTCATCTGTTTTTGACCACATCTCTACTTCTCCTGGCCTCCTTGCATTACCGGATCTTGACTAGGATCTACCCAGACTTGTAAGCGGATTCTCACCACTGGATCATATAGGACCTGAAAGATTTTGCACGTCAATCTGGTCTGGACGTTGTCTACTCGGAGACTGGCCGCGAACAAGGAAGAGGGTGGGTTGAAGCTTGAAATCTCACGGATTATAATTTCCAATCATTAACACAATCAAGGTTCGTTGAATTCGAAACTGCAGCTGACCTGAAAACTGCCATCGATAAGCTTGATGGACGAGAGTTCAAGGGCTCCCGAGTGAGCTGTGTCGCCGATGTAAGGACCTTGCCAGGACATGGGGTATCGAACCAGGATTCTTAATTGCTTGCTTCCAGATCCAGCCTTACGACGACCGCACTTTCCGTGATCCATATCGGTCTCGCTCACCGCGTCGCAGCTATCCTCCTATCGAGGAGTACGACAGGAGATTCCCCGCACCTCGTGGTTACAGCCCCCGCGCCCATTACAGGGAACGCTCACCTGTTGCGCTCCGCCGCGACTATTATGAACGTGATGGTTACGGCCGTCGCACTCCTCCCCGGCCTCGGATTGAAGACTACCCTCCTCCGCGTCGTCCTTACGATGACCCCTATGATGCCCGTCCTCCACCACCTCCCCGTCATTATGATGACCCATACATGGCACCGAGACCCTACGGACGTCCTCGGAGCCCCCCAAGAGGCGACTACCCACCTTATGACCGCCGTGGATACTGGTAGAATCTAATTTTCTGCTTCGATTGTGTTGCATACATGGCGGATACCCATTCAGTCTCGCTTCCTTTGTTCCATTTCCTTCTGCTCAAGTGTTTCCTCTTACTGGGATACCTGCCAACGCATACGAATACCTGGTCCGAATCGCAAAGATACCATAAAGATCCCAGATGGTGTGACTCTTTTCTACATCCGTGCTAAGGGTCGAGATTCCGGATGCGATGTGACAACGATCTCTTGTTTGCAGGTCCATGATGGAGCTCTATCCCGGGAATTGGAAATCAACAGGTGCATGATTGCAGGACTTACGACTTTCCTTAATTAATCACAAATCTCGCCAAGGCTTCTGGCTGCTAATGATACTGGCAATGTCGACTGAGATTCCATGTCCATTTCTATGTTTGCGAAGGGATCTTACTGGACTTTTTGACGATCTGGTCCTTGAAAAACGCGATACTGGCCGTCTCTCCTGTGCGGAGGAGCTTGTAAATTTGAACTAACTAATCCAAACATCTACATTGGTCGTTTTTAGGCTGTTTCCTTTTGAAAGTCCCGTACGCAGGTGTGCGTACGTGGCTAATTAACGTTCCCCGACATGATTGATTGATGGTATAGAAAAGACCCGAAAGAGAGAACCTAGATAAATTCTTCATAGGTGGAGTCTTTGCTGGATCCCTTGGGTGACGGCGATAAGCAGGTAATGGATGTGGGGAGCTCGCTGCCACTGAACAAGCCCACCAAAGCTTGACCCTTTGGAGATGCCGTTCGCATGATTTCAAGGTCGTCTTGGAGCTTAACAAACGATCATGCAAAAAGCCAAAAGGGAACGGGTTTTCCAATATCTATCCTGAGCGCTATTAGAGTTGTGTCGAGGTATCATCATTCTTCGTCATGGGTCTCGCCGCGCTACTAGAGGCGGAGCAACCCCGCTATCTTCACTGTCAAGAGCCAGGACTTCGATTTTCTCGAAGAATTGCTGTTGTCCAGCATCTTCAATAGCACCCCAAAAAATATTGCATGGACTGATGTGAAAGCTTTTTTCCCCCCCCTTTTGCAATTAATTCGAGTTTGTCTTAATTTTGCTCCAGCAGAGGGTCATTGCTCACCGAGATCCCCAAATACAGTCATTAACATCAGCCAAGCTACCGCTACCCCGTCGAGTTTCAAAGCCAATACTTCTCGAGTAGATCGATCTCCATACAAAAAGACACCTTACTCGCGATAAATCTTCTAGAATATGGCCGAGCAACGGGTCAACGTCCATATCCCCTCCCACCCAGCCGTCCTGGACAGCGTTCAACTTCGCAACATTCAACTCCCCTTACCCGTTGCACCAGACCCATGGCATCGTGACGGAAAACCACAACCATGCACCGCATCACTGAAACTATCCTACTCATCCGCCATCGCGGCCGCAGCCGCCGACGACGTCTCCCTCTCCCTCGACTACGGCAAGCTCTACCGCCGCCTGGAAGAAGACATCCGCAACATGGAAAAACACAGCCTCGCCCCGAGTCAACGGATGATCAGCGCGGACGGAAGCCGGAGGGACGAGATGATGCGCACAGAGATCGGGCAGGATGTAAGGCTGACTGCGGGGATTGTCGCGAACTGCGGCCTGGGGCTACTCGATGAGACGGCTGCCGGGATCCGGAGAATGTCGCATGTCCATGTCCATCCGGGCTCGAGGAGAGGGAGTGCGTCGGCCGAGATGCAGGCGCCGCTCGCGGGGCTGTCCTCGGCGAATTCGCCCATTGATGGGGTGTTTGGGCAGTGCGAGGTCTGGTTGCAGCTGCCCAAGGCGCTGTTGCGTGCGGAGGAAGGCTTGAAGTATCGGAGCCTCACCGTTTGGGGGTACCGGCAGGGAGATGAGAACACAGCGCTTGACTCGGAAAGGTGTCCTGTTGTTCTGGAGGAGGAGTTCCGGATTGATGGTATCAGGTGCCATTGTATCCTTGGAGTGAATTCCCATGAGAGGGTCGAGAAGCAGGCTGTTATCATCTCGTTGGAATTCAAGGGTCCTGGGCAATTGGCTTGGGGCTCGACGGTTATTGATACTTATCAGCAGATGACGAGAGGGGTTGCTGAGGTAAGTCGCTCATCGTCTTACTATTTCCTGTCAAGTCTCAAACTGACTTGTGACTCTCTGTCTCAGCGAGTAGAAGAAACCTCATTCCAGACCGTGGAGGCCCTGGCTACCTTCGTTGCGCGCATAGTCACCGTGGAGTTTGCCAATGAACGAGTCACGGTGAGGGTCGAGAAGCCAAGCGCACTGTCCTTTGTAGAAAGGTCTGGGATCGAAATTACCCGCTCACAGGCATTCTTCGAGAGATCAGACCTGGAAGGAGGAAGGGTATAGCCAAAGCCTCATCGGATTCAGTGGCTTTGTGCATATGATGTCCTAACATAATCAGTCTATATAACATGTCCCTGTCAGCTGGATCATTGGGCACATTTTGTGGACAAACACCAGAGAAAATCGATCTTGAACCAGTATCCCTTTGTCTGACTGTATGGACTTCTTTTTTGCCCCAGGCTTACTGTTTCGATGACTTGATCTCGGATCAGGACGTGAGTATAAGTACTAGTTCTTCCTGACGGTTACCTCCGCCTTGCCGTGTAGATCACTTACTGGTAACTCAGTAATATACACGCGCAGAACAGTCTAAGCTTGTCTATTCTTCTTCTTCTTCTTCTTATTTACCTCCAAGGGTACATGCTCAAATCCGATGAAGTATACAGAACATTATCATCATCATCTCGATCCAATGACGACAGCACGTGAAATCAGTATACTAAAAGCGGAATAGTCTCGCTTAGGTCACACGCGTTCTGATTGGCCCCGCAACTCCCGCATCATTTTCCAGGCCGATGGGGTCTTTTCCTTTGTGAAAGTTGGATCTCCCGACATTCAGCTTGCCAATTCTCCCTTTTCTTCTTGCTCTCAAGAACCATCACACCATTACCCTTCACTTGGATCCAGCTTCTCATCTTCATTCAACACGTCTGACGTTCCTCTATGTGCCTGTCTGCGCCCTCGCTGTCCTCGTCCGCTTTTATCCGCTTCGCTGGCTGCCTTGCCGACTCTCGCTCCTTGACCTTGAATAGAACCTTCGGGCTTGCTCCCCACGGATCCTTGGAGAAATACGCGTTATCTAACACTCAAGTCTTGTCGGCTCCCCTGCTGTTCGACTTCTCGGTTGCCGAGGTGGTTTGGCTAGGGGTCCCTGGTCCGTCCTGAAGAAGGGCGGACGGTAAACTGCGAGAGATTCAGAGCTACCAGCGTGACTTCCTGCTTTATTTCGAGTGGGGGCGGTGACTTCTGCTCTGAGTTTTTCGCGTTGAAGGTATGTCTTGGGTCCCTGGATAGTCACGTCACTCGCTCTTGTGTGATGTTTTGCGTTTCGCCTCGAAAATACCCCGCAATGTCTGGCAAGGGAGCTATGACGCTAACAATCATTTTGCACGGTCAGATTTCCTTCGATAGGCTAGTACCTGTTTACTGTTAGGGGTTGAGTGGATGAATTGAAGTCTGAATCACAAAGCGTGCTTGTTGGCGCTTTCCGATTTGATTGTTCGAATCTTGCCGTCGCTGTCCTCGACCGGGATTCTTTGCCGAAGACATGGATACACCGATGCATGATGATCTTTCCGTGGGAGACGTCTTTGCGCCCCAGGCAGACATGTCGCAACCTCGTGACGATGCCCTTCTCGACAATAACCCTGATACTCGCTTTCGCATGAGTGGTGGCAGTCCCACCCGCAAGCAGCAAGTTCCGGTCACCAAGGATCTCAATGAAGTTAGTCCCTTTCCGGCACACAATCTCAACGTTGAAGCCTTGTCCGGCAGACCAGACAGTCGCAGAAAGAAGAAAAAGCATCAGGCACGTGAGGTTCCCCGGGCCATCTCCACCGTCCGCGGGTTTACTCCACTTGCTTCTGGCGACGAAGACTCGGATTTCTCGACCACAAGTGCTAAGGCTCCTCCTTCAGCACGAGCACGCGCTCATGCGGAAAGCAATGGAAACAGCCCCATGGTCCAGCCTGCCGGATGTGGCGTGAGCGCTTTGAAGCTTCAGCTCGATTCGCTCAGCTTGTCCGGCAGCGGTACCGCTCAGGCTGCGCGGAGTGACCTGTGCTATGAAACGCCGAGCAATGCGAGCGTTTGCTCGGACAGCGATCAGACAGAGGTCCTGACTAGTTATGAAGTACCCCTGGAACATGATTTCGTCAGTTTCGATGCCGCGGCGGAGGAAACGTCTGGAAGCCTCTCCGGCGCGCAGGACGTCCGCACTCAGCTGTGCCGCAAAATGACAACCGCAGACTTTGAGCCATTGCTCTGCCTGGGCAAGGGCTCATTCGGAACCGTGCTGCTTGTGCGCCATGCGCTCACTGGAAAGTTGTATGCTCAGAAACAGTTCCGCAAGGCATCGCTCACCGTCCACAAGAAGCTCGTGGAGCAGACCAAGACTGAGCGCGCGATTTTGGAAAGTGTGAACCGTCACCCATTCGTGGTAAAACTGTTCTACGCGTTTCAGGATCACGAAAAGTTGTACCTTATCCTGGAATATGCCCAGGGTGGTGAGCTGTTCCACCACTTGGCGATGGAACGCATGTTCGACGAAGATGCCGCGGCTTTCTACATGGCGGAGATGGTTCTCGCTCTCGAACATCTGCACCAGAACGTGGGTGTGATCTATCGCGACCTCAAGCCGGAGAACTGTCTCCTGGACCGCGAAGGCCATCTGCTACTAACGGACTTTGGCCTCAGCAAGATCGCAGTCAACGATGACGATCGCTGCAACTCCTCTCTGGGCACCATCGAGTACATGGCTCCCGAAGTCATCCAAGGCAAACCGTATGGCAAAGCCTGCGATTGGTGGTCTCTCGGCGCCCTCGGCTACGATCTGCTCACCGGCTCCCCGCCCTTCAAGGCCAACAACAACGCCAAGCTGCAGGAGAAAATCGTCAAGCAGAAGCTCACGCTGCCCTACTTCCTCGGCCCGGATGCCAAAGACCTCCTCACGCGCCTGTTGCGCAAGGAACCGTCCAAGCGACTCGGCTACCACATGCCAAAGGACCTGCAGACCATCAAGAACCATCGCTTCTTCCGCAAGATCGACTGGAAGGCGCTCGAGCGCCGCGAGGCTGTTCCGCCTATCCTCCCCGTCGTCACAGACCCGGCTCTGGCAGAGAATTTCTCCGCCGACTTTACCGCTCTGCCGCTGAGTCCGGTTGTCACCAGCAACGGGTTCGACGATTATTACTCCCTTCGTCAGCGCCCCGGCCAGCGTGCAATGCCGACCGGTCTGGATGGGATGAGTTGCGACAATGACCCGTTCGGCGGATTTAGCTTTGTGGCTTCCAGCAGCCTACTTGACCATGGACTGGGTGTTATGACCCAAGGTTACTGATGGCTTTTTTTTTTTCTTGTTCAATGGGCATTTCACTTCGGCCTTGCTTCAATTCTACTACGATTTGCGTCTTTGCAGATCTTGCTTGCAAATCGTATATAGCGAATTCCATACAATTCAAGTATCAACGGAGCACAATATCCGTTCTATATTGTTGGATTCTCAAATCATATACTATCCAAATAAAGTCAACCAACCCCGCCAATGCATGCTCCGGAGGTAGTAGTGAATAAATGCAATGGACGCAGCAACTGGTGCAGCCGCTGAAATAATCATCTATATGAACTATGAGGTAGTGCGACGTCATACCAGGTCACCGATCAGCCACAATCAGTTGGAGAGACTTTCTCCTTTTCGTCGTCTGAATCATGTGTATTCTCTGCATTTTAGTAATTGTGGTTGTCGTAAGAACAAGAGGAGTTTCAAGTCTACGGCGAAGTCATAATCAGAGCTCCCCTTCTTCACTGCCCCCACCTTCGTCTTCCTGACCGGCTTGTTCCGGTTGTGATGGCGGGGGTGGAGGTGGAGGCTGAGGAATATCAGGCGGAGGTGGCGGTGGGGGTAAAGGTTGATGATGTTGGTGCCCTGGGGGCGGTGGATGCTGCTCCTCGAATGACTGCGACCTCCTTCCGAAGGACGGCCGCCGTCGTCTCGCGGGATCATCGTACCCGCGGTATCGATCGGGTCCGCGGCGATCTACTGAGTTTCGTCTGTTGGGGATCCTCGCTCCGCCTCCGGGTGGTGGTGGTGCTGGTGGACCACCGTGCGGCGGCATATTCTGTGAAACAATTTCGTCAATGCGTTGTTGGATTGGATCGGCTGCTCTTGCTCCTCCGCCTTTTCCGCCGCCGGGAGGACGGTGGTCGCTATCTCGACGTGGGAGTGGACGGGGAGCTGGTGGTAGGGGATGCGGGTGACGGTGGTGAGTGGGGGGATGAGGCAAGGATGGAGGAACCTGGCCGTTAAGATGAGGCCGGCCCTGAGAGGAGAAGGAGGAAGGGCTTCTTGCATTTGGCAGGCTCTGCGAGGAAGGTGCGGATGGGTTCTGCTGTTGATCCTGCGAGCTGCCGCCTCGCGCTGCATCCGACTCCCTGCGTGGTCGTTTTGGAGAACGCTCTCCGTTGGAGGGGGCTGGAGGAGTCTGCATGGATTCAGAGACACTTCCTCGAGGTTCGCCGTTGTCTTCTGGTTCTTTCGATCGTTTCCGTCCGCGATTGACGTCTGTCTCTGCTGGAGGACGATTTGCGGGACTGCCAGCGTGTGGGATCCTGGTCTTCTCAGTGCCCTCGTCCGACAGTATTGGGGTGGTCGGGTAGTACTGGCTATGTTTTTGCATGGCATTGTTCTCGTAGAGCTGTGCCATTCTCATGCAGGCGCGACGCACCTGCGACAGATCCACGTCAATCTGCTCCCACCACGGTCGACCGCGGTCGTCGTCCTGAAAACCCACGTCGCAGTGCCGCGCGGCGGCGTATAGAGCGGCGGCAGCGATGGTGCGTGCGCTGAATTGTAGGCAGAGGACCGTAAACATGGAGTCGTTGACAAAGGCCCATGCGGCGTTGCGGAGCGGTTTGTTTTCATTCACGCCGAAAAAGCAGATAAAATCGTAGAGGATGCGGTACGGCTGTTCGAGCTGTAGGTCGAAGCAGAGCGCCTCCAGGAGTAGGTCCTCATGATGCAGGATTGTGTCCCGCCATTTCCAAAACTCCTTGGATTGCTCGTCCACCACCAGATTCGGCTGCTTTTGCGCCACTCGACAGCAAGCCACCACGAGCTCTCTCATCCTTCGAACATTCTCTTCAACTTTCGTAGCTAAGAATAGCGCTGTGGCCGCGATGGGATAGGGATGCATGCCCGGTCGTTGCGGGATATCGACCATGCTGTATCGCATGAAGAACCGGTGGAGGTAGACGGCTGCGGTTGCCAAAGTGAGCTGGGGCAGCTTCAGCATGATGCCGACCTGGGTGATGAAATTGACACCTTTGCTGCGACTAATATGCTCCGCTCCCAACTTCATGCCGTCGAGTTGGGATGGCGTACGAGTGAGTTCTTCATCTGTGAAGAGCCATTGGGCTTGCGATGCGAGGAGGACGGGATTCGACTCAGCAGGCGCAGGTCGTTTCTCGGGGGAATGCGACGGTGCCGAGGCCATGACGTATTGGTGAGATTGTCTTATTACAGGTTAATCACTTAAAAGACAATCAAGTTGACAGAATGTTTTCTTCTGGTGTTTGTTGGAAAGTGCTATCTTTTCGAGGAGGACAGCTGAGCAGGGCGCGCTGACCGCACGTGGTGCTGCGTGTCTGTCCTCCCTCCACGACAAGGAGATGCCAGAATTGCGTGAATTATGAGTTCGCATCAATCATAGCGCATGGTAAACCTCGTGGTATCGCGAGTTGACTTTTCGCAATCAAGGCCAGTCTTGAAGCGTGTTGAGCCAAAAGATCGAGAGCAGATGGCGTTTGCTGAACGAGTGATCTGGTAGGCGTGGCAGAAGCTCCGAAGCTCTTCTGCTTGGGTAGGCGGAATAAACCTTCTGATTCGATCAAAAACGGCTCTCAATGATATGGTATACTATGGTGTTGTGAAGTCTTTGGATTGCTCACAGTGTCTCGCAACACTCCAAAAGATAATGTAGGAGTGCGGATGCGAAAGGCCCGGATCATCGAGTTGTTCCGGTCCATGTAGATCGGCTCTGGTTGACACAGTACAAGGGGTATCCGTATCGTACAACAAGTCAGGCTGATTTTGACATTGGAGGGTTCAATTCGGGGGGGTGGAAAAAGATTTCGTTAGATTTCTGTGTACAAGTATGATTCAATCGTGGTATCATTACCCTCTAGTGAAGTGGTGGACTGGGCTGGGTCCAGGGCCTCGCTCCAAAACTCCAAAACGACGCCATGCACGCAAGTAAATCTGATACATAAAAAAGCAGAATCATGTAGACAAAGGTATCGCGACAGGTCGGAGTTTGGGCCGAGATGCAAGATGTGGGAAAATAAGACAATAGAATAGAAAAGGTATCATTCCTCCTCGCTAACCTCACTTTCATCATCACTGGGAACATGGTACTGCAGAGATGGTGGCTGGTACTCTTGCTTCCTCGCTTCTTCCTCAAAAGCAGCTTCCATTTCAGCCGCCAGTGCATCGTCATCATCCTCAATCTCCTCCTGGGTTGCCGGTGCTGTTGAAGGGTGATCCGCACTCTCAGACGGGACACCACCGCGGCCGACAGGAGATGGTAGCCGCAAAGCTTCCATTTCCTCCTCCTCTTCATCTTCGTCGTTTGCCGGGGTATTGTTGGACGAGAAGTGCGCTGGATTAACCCTGAAAGCGGGACGAGATGGAGGGGGTGAGCCCATATCGATGATTAGATCTCCGTCAATTATGATATTAGAGCCCGGTGATGGAGCCGCCTTGAAGGACGATACCAATTCGGTTCCAGTGTCCGAAGGTGACGATTTCAATTCTTCAGCTGGAAACTCCTCCACTTCCTCTTTCTCTTCCTCCTGAGGCTCTTCCCGTTTAACTTGCGCCGGAGGCTCCAGAGTCGTTTTGGGAGCACTCGTTGTTTTGTTTCTAGGAGGTTTGCTCGGACGTTGTTTTTGACGGAGAGGATTGGTTTGAGGCTTAGGTCGAGCTTTGGGACTTGGAGTGGGTTTGGCAGCCGCGGTCATCAGAGGGGTGTTGGCTTTACTGGCATTGAGATGGGATGAGGTTGCGCCGTCCGAAACGGATTTGTCATCGTCAGCGTTTTCTTTTGGCAGGAAGTGACGATAGTCGTAGGGATTGCTGTCATCAGCGGGGCCGTCGTCAGTGTCAGCGGTTGTTTCAACTGCTCTGTCGTCACCAGAACCCTGATCATCATCATGCAATGTTCGCAGCTGCGCATACTGCTCCGTCACCTGCTTTTCAGTCTTATTAGGTGCCGACCGAAGATTGAAGTTCAATTGTGTCGCAATCTGCTCGAGAACGAAGACTTTACGATCCGGATCGAAAACCAAAACCAGATTCCGCTCGGCGGACTCAGACGTAGCATGCTCTGGATCCACGCTGCCTTTGTATGAGTATGTTAACGCACTATGTTCGGCATTCGGTGCCTTGTCAGTGATTGTGAGGTTATACAGGTCCGGATATTGCGCAGCTCGGGTTATATAGGTGCGTTGCTGCGAGGACGCGGACTTCGATTTATAATTGTACTGAATGTTGATTAATCTCGATTGCGTGTTCGCATCTTTTCTTGCCAATCGTTCACCCAAGATGATAGGGTAGTCTTTGGTGGGATCAATCATTCCGCCCGAGGGGAACAGAGCCGAGGTCGCCATTTGATACAAGACTCTGGTGGCTTAGAGAGGGGAACGAGTGCGCTGGAAGTCGACCGTAATGTAGATAAAACCAGTGCTCTTTAATATGACCTACAAGAAGGTCTCATTTCTTTGTGTGGTCAAGCACAAAGAAGAGGGGACAACTGCACACAAGAGAGCTTGTCACACCGGGGAGGACAAAGAAGGGGGAAGGAGATGGTACAACGAAGGCCAACCATAGAGGAAAAGGAACAGAGAAAGCGTGAAAAAATATAAGTATAGAAACAAATGCTGAAGAGAGCAGCTAGACATGTCAGCTACAAGCTGGCATCGGACTTGAAGCGCTGAAACGCGACGAGATGAGATGAGATGGGATGGGATGGGATGGGGGGAGGGAAGATGACGGCGGTCCAGACAACGTTGAAAGGCGGAGGCCGAACGGCGCCCGCAGCTAGTCCTGCACAGGATTAGTGTCCCCGGTGCCTCTCCTTTCCCGATGAGGATGCCCATCAGCCGATCACCCGTCGACCTTCAGCGGCAGATATAATTATCGTGAGCATCACTGGACGAACGCCATTTGCTGAGGCTCTCAAGTCTAGCCTACTGCTAGCAACCTCTATCTCGCGGCTATTGTTCAATGAAGGGGTGAAGTCACCCGCGGAGTCCCCTTGGAGGCAGTTCCGGTGAGTTGCTCCAACCGCCCTGCCAAGGCTCGGTGCTTTCGTGTAATCTCTTCCCACTCATAGGCGGCATTTCCCTTGTGTTCGTCTTCCGCGGTACTCATCTCCGTCAAAATCATGCTAAAGTCCCCTCCCAGTCTTCCTAAGCTAGCAGCGCAATATAAGACTTGAGTTAGAAGACTTTCGCGCGAGCTCTTATCTTGGACATTGGGTAGATAGGTGCGTAACGTGTCACTCAGTAGCTGGACGAGATGCATGGGGAAGGTTGCCAAAGCTGGTGGAAGGCATTGTAAGGGATCATCTTTGCGAGTTGGCTGTGACGAGCTCGTTTTGACGCGAGGATCAATCCCTCGCAGTCCTGCAATAACCGACTCCGACTCGGCTTGGTCAGGGGTGAAGATGTTCTTATACAAGGAAACAATTGCAAAGCTCTGCTCCCGGAAGATTTCAATGTATCGTTTCAAAAACTTTTCTGTCTGGTGGCCGTGAGACCAGGACGAGTTCGATGCCCCATCCTGGTGATCTGTATTCCGAGTTCTGCGCTGGGTCTCCTGGTCTGCTAGTTCTCGCAAAGGATCCAATGCATCTATTGTCGAAACCAAATTTGCCAATCGGCAAACCAGAAACAACGCACCGAGTGCGCCTTCTCCAGTGCCCGTTCCACCGTCGCTGTGCAACCCCTCCAATTCCGGAGCCACTCGACGTAACCAGCCTACCATTCGCATAGCCGCTGCCAATCGAAGGTTCTGCGTACGGAGACCCGCTATCAGATTCGTTGTCATCTCCTTCATCGCATCCTCGGCCTGAGAGGCGACATCCTTGACGAGGGGAGAATCAGGATACAGTGTTTGCAATCGCTTGATGTGAGCGTATAGATCCAAAGCAGATGAATAGGTTGTAGAAAACGAGGTGCCGCCCGCGGCACCAGAGCTTGCAGCCGCCGATGAGACAGCTGTCGATAGAAGAGAAGGAAGTTCTAGAATGTCGGAGAGTCGATCGACATTTCTCGCCAGCTGCATGACCTTCTTTCGCCGCTCCAGAGACGGGTTCTCTGCGGCTCGGCTGTACTTGGTGGAAAATCGGACCACCTCTTCGTCAAGTTTGGGGATTGCATCTCGTAAATTTTGTGCGTTGCGGTTCAATTGGGGAATCGAGGTACGGAGCTGAGAGAGGCTATCGGCAGATGTGATGAAGGCCTTGTGCGAGCGATTCGATAAGGCCTGGAGGGACAGGAGGGTAGAATGCGAAGATTGCGCCAGAGATTGGGGTTCCGTCGTTTCCAGGGCCTCAAGGGAGAGCGTTGATAGTCGGTTCAAGTATTGAACCGTAGTCGTGTCATTATCTGGAGCCAACGGTGTTGAGGCAGCATCTGCTGGAGGGAAATGAGGAGCCAATAAGTCGTAAAGATAGTCAGTCATGGTGAATCCCGTGGCTGTTCCCTTCTGTAAAGGGAGGGAGCAGTTGACAGAACGGGGTACAGCTGATCAATGGTGGGAGAGGAACTGGCTAGAAGTTGATGCGATGAAGTCTCCAACAGTGGTGATGCAGTACGGCAGCGTTTGCGGTAACAAGCGCATCTCCGCATTTCCGCCTTGACGCTACGCTACGCCAGTCCATCCCACTCCAACGTCTCAGCGTGTCTAGGTCAATCTTTGTCTCCCCGCGATAAAGTCGAACCCACTGAATATCCAGGCCCCTTCGATATTGCTATACCTTCTACTGGTCAGCACTGGTCTGCAACTTCAACAGTCACATTGAAAACACTAACCAGATTGAGAAATACTCAGGTAGTACTACCCGCCGCTCTCATCCCAAAGTCATCGCTTTCTGCCCTTGGGATAATGCTTATACAACTCCCGATTGCTCTGACTAGACAGAAGAGCTCCCAAAATCAAAGACCGCTTGCGAGTGTATTTTCGCCATTGCATGACCGCAACCTGATCCAGCGCTTGTGATTTGTTTCGATCCCCTCCCCAACATCAACCGATGTTGTATCAACAATGGGTAAACCGCGGGTTAGCTTTCCTCGGTCGCATTCTATATCTGACACCTCGGCGTCTCACTCATTCATTAGATGATCATCTTGATCCGCCATGCGCAGTCGGAAGGAAACAAAAACCGTGAAATCCACCAAACGATCCCTGATCATCGGGTCAAGCTCACACCCGAAGGACATCGACAAGCGAAGGAGGCGGGTAGCAAGCTGCGTGCCCTTCTACGGCCCGATGACACGATACACTTCTTTACCTCCCCCTACCGTCGGACTCGGGAGACTACAGAGGGAATTCTCGAGTCTTTGACCTCCGATACTCCATCCCCGTCGCCATTTCCCAGACATACCATCAAAGTATACGAAGAACCACGGCTGCGAGAGCAGGACTTTGGCAATTTTCAGCCATGCTCTGCGGAGATGGAGCGGATGTGGCTGGAAAGGGCAGACTATGGACATTTCTTCTATCGAATCCCGAATGGCGAATCTGCTGCGGATGCCTATGATCGAATCAGCGGCTTCAATGAGTCGCTCTGGCGTCTGTTCGGGGAGAATGATTTTGCCAGTGTCTGCGTACTGGTAACCCATGGACTCATGACGAGGGTCTTTCTAATGAAATGGTATCACTGGAGTGTTGAATACTTCGAAGATCTACGCAACATCAATCACTGCGAGTTCGTCATCATGAAGCTCAATCCAGACAACGGGAAATATGTGCTCCAGAACAAGCTGCGCACATGGTCGGAGCTGAGGAAAGAGAAGGAAAGCGAAAGACAACGGGAGCGAGCGAGCAAAGACCTCACGCCTGCCCCGTCTCCCCCGATCAGACGCAAATGGGGTGGATGTCCCGACGGCTGTAACCATGACCTCCACAGAAAAAGATCCTTACGATCTTCACGGACGACTGGCGGTGACCTGACGCGTGTTAGGAGTGAGGCGCAACTCTCCACGAGAAGTAATGTGAGTTATCCCTAGGTCGAAAACAAGCGTGGCCGAGTCACAGGAGGATGACGCTGACAGCGCAAACACAGGCCGATCAGCAATACATCACAGCCCCCGAGCCAGCTCTAGGAGACCGTTCCTCAGACATTAGACCTGTGGACCAGACTGTTGCCCCCTCTGACGATTCCTCGAAACGTGACTTGGAAGCTACTTCGCAACCCACAATTCTCCCCACAGACTGTGATGCCGACACCGACTTCAATACTCAAACATCCAAAAGCCCCAGCCCTCATCCCAGGCCACCCGCTGCTTCGAGCCCCAGCCCGATACCCAGGCGGCCCGACCTAGCCAAATTTCACCGTGACAGCGAAGATCATCTCCTGCACCCACCAAGGTCTAACTACGCTCTCTTCCACCTCGGCGGTCGCGACGGCGGAGGCTCCCTGAGTGGCGCGAACAGCGTCGCTCCGTCCGAGGACGAGCGCGAAGACCCAGGTTTTTCCGGTGACCGACTCGACCAGCACAAGCCGAAGTCCTCGCAGGATTTCGCAGACGACGGCGACGACGAAAGCCACAGCAAGCAGGTGCAACGACCGAAACGGACGCGCTCACATCATAGCCACAACCATAGCCGTCACAACCCCAGCCCCAGCCACAACCACACTCACCACTCAGCCTCGGTGAAACGCAGCAACTCCAAGAAGGGAGCAATGCACATCGGTGACACGGACAGATCGCAAGATCCCACGCACACCCCTGCCGAACCACCCGCCCAACAAGATATTCGTAACAACCACTCCCACTGCGAGCACCAATCTCGGCATGCCGACGTACACGCGAACGACGACGACGACGATGACACAGATGACGGAGACGACGTCCACGCCGAGCTCGAAGCCGAACGGCAGCGAGACCAGAGTATCAGAGGGAGTGTCTACTGACCGAACCCCTGTGCATTCTCACTCCATCGTTATGTCCCTTTTTCCACCTTCTGCACATGCACACACTCAGGCACATATTTCATGTGACCATCTGCGCTTCTCTAAATCTAATCCCCTATTATGATATTCACGATAGTTTGCATGTTGATACCTTGAAACGAAGCATATTATGAGAATGATACGCTGGTCCATTTCGACCAGAAAAGAAAAAAAAAAAAAACTCTCGCATCAATATCTCGTTTCATTCTCCTAGTGATATGGAGAATATAGACGTAGATGTACTCAGTATGTCATGTCCGTGAGCAGGTACAGCGACTGAAAAGACAGAGTCCCCAAAGGAGTTCATCCCGTTTTCATGAATTCGGGATCGAGGAAGCAAGGCACGGCAGATTCGACACGGAGCCTACGATGATGGTCTACACAGAGTATCTATAGTACTTGGAAAACGAGTATATGCAAAGAGGGGGGCGAGAAGATGTATTCTCGTCCCGGGAAAGAAGAAATCAATTGTCTTTTCTTTTTCCCCGCGATTTCAAGTTTGTTTGGTGACCTTTCGCGGTGCGAAACGGTCTTAGAAATATGGACCGTCTAACATACATTGAAAGGGCAAATGATGAGGTCGAACGGAAAAAGAGCATGCCACTTCAATCGCTGTGAACGGGAAAAAAAAAAAAGAAAAGAAAAGAAAAGAAATGTCCAGATCAGACGGGAATTGAAAGGGGAGTATCGCTTTTTCATGTCTGATCGACGACATTTGAACATGAGTATGTAAAACAGGGAGCGTCGAAAACAATTCGTCAGAAAAAAAGCAACAAAAGATAGACTACAATCACCGGGTCCTCAGTCCGCAATGCACTACCGTGCAGAGGGCAGTCAGCGCGTGCTGCAGCATCGAAGCGTATCCCGGCAGGTCTGATCAAAGCACAAAAAAACAAAATATGTTACTCAACCGAGACGGACAAATGCAGGAGTAGAATGGGGTCGAATCAAGGAGGGAGAACTATTAACGCCATTACACTCGAAACGACGAGTGTAGCCGGTGATAGAAAAGTAAAAAGGAAAAAAGAAAAAAAAAAAAAAGTTCCGAGCCAATAAAATGGAAGAAAGCGATCTATAGATGACAACCGCCAGGAGGAAAGCTCAAGACCAAAGAAACATGAAAAGGATGAGGAGAGAGAAAAAAGGGAAAAAAAAATGATAAACCGAAATCATTAGAATAAATGGACAAGTAAAGTCATGATCGTCGTGACCTGTCTTACTCCAAAGACCAAATTGATGGAGTAATATGCGACACGATGAGCAATCACTCTTCATGGGCGACGAAACAAGGTATGAAGCCAAGCTGAGATGAAGAGAGTATGCCGTATCGTAAATGCTTAGAAAAACTCTGTATCGTAGATAAGGGCAGACAGAGTTGTTCCAATATCGCTGGTGGGAAGAACTTTTTTTTGTTGCTTTTCACTTTTCCGACATGGAACAATGACGGCGGATGGGCACAGGTACTTTTCCGACAAATGCAAAACAACTGAAACCGAAGATGGAAAAAGGACATGCTGTCATCGCAAATGGAGGCGGTATCATCGGAAATGGATCAGAAGAAAAATATTTCGAAATGAAAGAATGAAAAAAAAGAAAAACCAAGAAGTCATTGATCGGAAAAATCTAGACAGGCGTTGAGCCGGCCGCAAAAAGAAGGCAGACTGCCATGGGAGACCAAGGGATCACCCGTCTAGGCGACCATGGCCTGCATTGGTCCGAATGCATTGGCACACATGTAGTGTTCGACATGCTTGGCACAGTACAAGCACCCGCAGGAGGAACCGTGTCCTGTCCATACACTTTGGGCAAATGGTAACGCGTAGGACGGCGTATGGTGGTAAGATGGAGGTTGCGACCGAGGCGCGGACTGAGGCATGTACTGCTGCGGCGGCGGCACCCAAGTTCGCGTGTACGGTGGTGGAGGGTTGGCATATGCCCAGGGTCCGACAGCGTAGTAGTCGGGAGTGTTCGGGCCGCTATGAGGAGCAGAAGGAGGCGAGTACTCGGACGCAGCGGGGTTGAGCCAGGAGTTCTCGTAGTGAGAGCTTCGCTGATACTGCGGAGGAATCGGCCCCTCGGGAGACAAGAGAGGCTTGGACACCATGTGCCCGCGTGAGACATTAGTATCAATGGGGGCAAGGGTGTGACGCGACTCCTGGGCTCTAGCAACAGCCTTGGCACGCCAGGTCTCCCAGTGGGACAACCACGACGCGAAGCCGTCCTGCTTGTCATGGATGCGCTCGTGGAGCTTCCACTCGAATGCAAAGAGCCACTCTAATTCCATGGAGTTCAACTCGCTGACCGGGATATTGCTGACTTCAGCCCACGACTTGTTCTGGAAGGTGTTGTCATCCAGAAACTTGCTTCCCAGAAGTAGGGCAACAGTCAGCATGCGGTAAACCTGTCCACTGCCAGAGGTGTACACTTTGGCCGAAGAAAGCATACGCATTCTGCTGGCCAAGTAGTAGAGACCCAACAAGATCGTGGAGCTGGGAAGGCGGGTCGATGAAAGGATCTGGAAGACGTATTTCCGAAACTGGGGAGGGACCGATGTTCCTGGGTAGACGCTTCGCGCGAAGTCAATATCTGCTATGTTGATCTTGGTGATGTACAAAGCATACATTCCCTGAGCCATCTCGGCCACGAAGTCGGACATCTGTTCCATCTCATAATCCAAATGGGCGGCTACACCTCCGGTGGCCTTTTCCTCTTTGCGTTGCTGTTGTTCGGGCTGCATCATGTCTTGGCGGCGATACTGTGGCGGAATGGCACTCTCCATAGGGGGCAGCTGAAGGCCGGCACGGATCGGAGGCAGTACGTTTGTGGTGGGCAAGGGGCCGAATGATTGGTTCAACGCGGGGTGAGCAGTGGTCAAATCTCTGCCAATGTGCATATGGTGGGCGGATGCCGGGTGCAGGTTCATCGGAGCGGGCTTGGAGTAGTGGGCGGATTGAGAGTACTGCTCGATGAATTCGCAACCATTCTGCGTATAGCGGGGAGGGAAGGCAGAGTTGTTGACGACGTAGAAAGGCTGCTCGTTTTCCATCCTGCCACCGGGCAGGACGTGAGGAGGAGTGGGAGGAAGGCCCTGAAGGCCAGCGGCGAAGAAGGACGGCATAGCGGATATGAGAGAAGAAAGAGAAAAGACCAGTCCAGGACGGCGAGGGTAGACGATCAAACGCTGGAGGGAGAAAAAAACAGTCAGTAAGCCACCCCAGCGATGGGAAAAGCGAAGCACAACGGCAGGAACGAGTGCCAGTATAGGGAAAAAAAGACCAAATACGAACCGTCTACACGTCCGCCAGGCCCTGATCCTGGGGAGAGCGATGCTCAGCGAGCCGCAGCTCTGTGTTTGCCGTGGAGAGGTTCTCTTAGTTGAATGACATGGAGGGGAGGAAATCCAACTAATTTAGCAGATGAAAGGAGCACGGGGAGCACGAGAGAAAGAGCGAGGAGAAGGAGCGATTGTGGACGGCGTGTTTGTGTTTGTCTTCCTTGACTATCGGATCCTTTCGCGCGGCGAGATTTGTGTTATTCCCTCACGGTGTAGCTGTTGGTCGAACACGAGACACCCAAAAAAGCACGTTTTTTTTAAGAATTTGCAGAAAAAACAGCGGATGGTCACCCAACGACGTGGAACGTGCCTCAAGGACCGTTAATTGTAGAAGGAGACAAGAGTAAGGGAGAGAGGGTTCGTGGAGCCAGGAGAGGCTGGGGGGAGAACGACGGGGGAAATTGTAGGGGATCGGAAGAGAAAAATTAATTTTCTTTCCCTCGCGCCAAAGTGAAAAGCCCCGAACCACGACGGCAACGACACTTAGTGAAAAGCTCGTTGAGAGAAAATGACAAGAGGAGATGAGAGAGATGAGACAGGGAATTTCACAGGCGAGAAATGCACAAGAAGAGAGAGTTGAGATGACGGAGGATGGAGAGGTGGAAGAGAAAGGGGACGGAGAGAGAGAGAGAAGGATGGGGAAAAAGGGTAGTAGTAGTAGTGGTGGTGGTGGAGGTGGTGGTAGTAGTAAGAGCGGTAGAGAGAGAGAGAGGATGGATGGAGTTTAGACTAGATGGGCCAGAAGGCGTAGCGGAGTCATGGTTGAGGAGTTCGATGTTGAGACGATAGTCAGAGTAATTTTCTCATGATTTTTGTTATTTTTGTTATTTTTCTTTCCCTTTTCTTTTTTTTTCGTAGTCAATGATAATAATTTATTATTATGATGGAACATGGATGATGATCTCTCTCTCTGGGTTTGTGTTTGGTTTAATTTTGATTTGATATGGGTTTGGATTTTCTCTGGCTTGATGGATCAAGCCATTTTCTTTTTTTTTCTTTTTTTTCCCCCAGAATCCCAAGCCCTTTCTTCTCTCCGGTCTGTGATTCTGTAACTTTTGTGACAGCGGACTTGGGGGCCAGAGCAGTTTGAGAGAGAGTATTATTGTCATAGAATTGCAGTACTACTGATGATGGAGTGTCGGCCGGCAAAGTCAGGAGGAACAAAATTGACCAATAGTGACGAATGGAAACTGGGAATGAAAAACAAAAAGAAAAGAAAATAAGAAAACCAAAAATAGGATAGTACTACGGAGTTAGTAGCAGGCAAAATTTTTAATGCAGATTATTAATACAAACGCCTTCACAGTTCACACCCAGACCAAATGAAAGGGTGTTCTGGGTGCTGGGAAGGCGGGAAAAAAAAGGAATACCGGCAGTATGACGGTGCCGTGGAAAGGGGTCCTTCCATTGCTTAGAGTTTTCTCTCTACTCCAGTTGCACAGAGTACAGTTTAGATCCTAGGAACTGTCCAATTGAAAAGGTACTTTCAAAGTGATAACTCATAAACTGCGATAGTCCCATTGAATCTTCTGGATGATCAATATTAATGTGAATCCATCTAATAAAAAAGAAAAAAATCCTTTTCCTCAGTGGGACTGTGTACTCGTACTACTCCGTACTTCAGAAGTATTCTAGATGGGTTACAAGGTAAACTTCTAAGAGGCAGTGACACAAACCATGGGAATCGACTTTGAGGTCAAGATTCAATTAGTAGTAGTGACTTGAAGAAACAGTAGTAGGATGATTATGTGTGGTACAGTGACTGTTGGACAATATAATCTGCTTCACAAATAGTTTGTTTGTATTGGATATATTATCTTAAGAAAGTGGCATTTAATGTAATGGGAATGCTGCAATGTCCCTGATCACCCTTACAATCAATGATAATTAATTGTGTTATCCCTTGGAAGAATTATTAAGTATCAACATGATTATTATTCTCAGTAAGTAACCACTAGATGGATACTGTGTGCAGTGTGCAGATGTTCGGGGCTTAGAAGCCTTCAACGGGGCATCAAGAGCCACCTGGATGGGTCACACTGACACCGGTGCTAAAACTAAGGTAAAAGGCCCCAGGTGGTGGGCTCGCTGGGTTGCCCTAACCCCTTGGGAAGTTAGGTTACTGGGTTACGCCTCTGCTGCCGGTTGATTCCTATTATTATTTCTCTTAAAAGTGTCTGCTGGTACGTATTCGGTAGTGGTACGGAAAATTGTCCAGAACCGAAGGAAATAATGAGTGGGATGGATAATGCCATATTTTAAGAATTATTATTGATTCGAAAGGTCAAGGCAACAGTGCCCGTCATAATGTTAGCCATCGATGATTGCAGGTACCCATCATCATCGTCATCATTGTGAACCTCCAAAGCAAGATCCAGCAATGACAGTCAGCAGAAAATGAAGGCGGTGCTTGACGCAGGCTGCCCGTAGTAGTACAGAAGTGAGAGCAGTGATGCAAAGTCGTTGTCACACACAGACCAGTCAAGGAGAGATTCCGTATGAGCCGTACTCCTCTAAGGTAAAAGTCACCAGTACTAGTGCTAAGAAAAGACTCGCCTCGAACTCAAAAAGGGCCAGATTGCCCAGAATCGATTGGTACGTGCACCGCATTCCCCGTGCTAAAATAAAAAACGTGTTTTAGTGGTACAGTCCAGTTACCAGTCTAGGCTCATTTAGGAAGGGAATTGCTGATGACCCACATGTTGGCGGTGACCGAGTGCAGAATCGAGTGTGGTCGGGTTCTTAAGGTACCTTCTTGAAGCTACGGAATACGTAGATACTTGTTGATAGAGGGCAGAGAATTATTTCTAAAGCGAATGGAACAGTAGAAACCATTTTACCATCACCCTTGATCTCATATCTCCGCAGCATCAGGGATAAAAGCTATGGATGGCTGTAATATGATACAACACACCCAACCTTGTTTTAGGTATGACACCATACGAGGTGGCAACAGTAAAAGTACAGTACTGTGATCAGCCTCAACATGAATCAGACATGACACCACTGCTTCCACCCAAATATCAGGCTGCAGAACCCAGGAAAATCTGTCCTATCAGATACTATGCTATGAATCAAATTTTGGATCTCCTCGTCCTACTGCTGGTGTTGATAAAAGGGAATAGTACGCCAGCCATGCACAGCCAGAACGCGCAGCGCTACATTCCACTGCCGTTCCTCAGCCAACAGCTCAATAATAACCTGCATCATCAGCGGAGTAACCAAGGCAGCACTAGCAGCTCCCTCGATTCTCAAATCCTGTTGAGTGTCAGCGCATTCGACATGATGCTTACATACAGGGCAGTTGGTGCTTGCATTGTACCTTTCTGCGTAGCCTCCCCAAGCATAAGCATACCATATACTGTATAACCAACGCAGAAACTCAAGAGGCTTGCTTGTACATGACCAGCCAACGAGTGACTGAGTCAAAGGAGTGCTTCGTCTGACTCATCCTCAGATATCATGGTCCTAGTCTTTCTACTGCCTAGAAAGGACCCCAGAGAGACGTTGCGTCAACCCTGCTTCTGCCTACAATCACTTGGGCTATGCTTGATACTGGTTGGACCGGATAGATGGATTTGGTAGAAGTGCACAGAGTAAGTCCGGCAAAATAATATCAATGATCAGATGCATAATGGTACTGCGCCAAAAGATATCGGGGATTTCTAGAATTTTCATCCCGTCGATCTCAGGACACTCGAGAGAGGTGCATCATCTGCTTGGAATATGTCGCAGCGTCAGGCATATAGCCACACGCTTTGAAGGATATCCCTATTCAACACCGATCCGATACATGTCCATACTCAAAATGAAAACCTGACCATCAATTATTGAACAGTCTCAGTCAGGCGGTGGGGTCAAAACAAACCTCCCTCTCTATCCTCTATCCAACCCAATCCTCCTCTATAAGCTACAGTGGTCTTCAAAAAATCACGCACATACTCATGACCAAACCCCAAGCAGTACTCCGTATCAAAGAGGGGTAAAAAAAATCATCATCGGGCTTCCATTTCTGCCCGAATAAAGATTATCTAGTCTACAACGAGAGGACTCCCAGCGCCAAAGCGGCAAATCCAGCTCCTGGTCTATCTATCGATCTACTGCATGGCACGACCGATATGGAAAAGTGAATCCGAATTCCCACTGCCAAAGTGGGATGTGACGAACACCCACGCCTCGACATGGCTATCGTACTTGGTCCCTGATACTTGCTTGATTTTACCAGGGCATAGATAGACAGAGACTCGTGCGCTAGTCCATCCTGATGAATGGCGAGTTTGGCTCGATACCCCGGGACGGGGCGTATGATGCAGGAGATCATATGTTGATTAACTGCCTCCCATCTCACTGTCCCCGAGATTCTCTTGCCAGTTGCCATTGCCACAGTGTAAATGACCTGTGACTTGTCAGTCACGGTTAGTTTCGGTTCTGATAAATGCAGACTCCTATAGTTTCTATGATCATCTGTCTCGTCTTGCTTTTTCTGCAACCCCGCTGTAGGGAATATCCGGAGCGACTCAAGTGGGGGAGGGGGTTCAGGTACACTGTACGAGCAGTCTACGGAGTACGGACAACAGGACCCGAGAAGTTTGTGAAACTCCAACTATTATCCCTCAAACTCAAGGCTCAGAGATATCGTTAGATTCGTCTATGTACCGGATCATCTCAAAAACAAACTCCTAGCTTTTCCGGCCCTGGAACGATGATTTCTACCCACGGGGTTCTAGCTTGCAGGCATTGCAGTATGGCAACCATAGAAAATCGAATAAGAAAAAAAAAGAAGAGCATGACGCTCATAACACAGTGGGATATCATCAACTGAAGGAAACTTCAGATAAGGAAGTAAATGGGAGAAAGAAAAAGAGAAAAACCAACCCAGGTGAAGGGCAAAAGATATCACCGAGTAACAAATACCCTCTGACTCCAGCAGGAGTAAGCAATAGATGAGTAGACCCTAGTGCTGATCTTCGTTCCAATCACATACCTTCCATCAACACCTTCCGAGTACGAAGAGTATAAAATGTTGTTCGCCAGAACAGTCATAAACATAAAATCTCGTTTCGTGAAATCGTTCAATCAAGGCAGCAGTCACAGCCAAAAATAATGATGCCAGACTCGCTGCAGCAACACAGGTTTACTGGTCTCTCAACCCTCCGATCAAGGTCCGAAGCGCGTCCAGAATGACAGCCTCGTCCTTGGGCTCCCCGCCGGGGAATGAGCTCTCCGTCGCGTGGCCCAGAGCACGAGCTCGTGCGCTCTTGAGCACTTCCTTGATGTGATCCTTGTCCTCATAGTCTTCCAGGAGAACAGCCTCAAAGTCATCAATGGCTTTGCTTGCCCGCTCCTCAAATGACACAGATTCGGGATCCTGCATCGGCATGGGACCAGCGTTCATGGGCGCAACATTGTAGTTGGGTTGCTGTTGCTGCTGCGGAGGCTGCATCGGTGGTCCCGGGTTCGGTTGCAGATACTGCTGTGGCTGCTGAGGGTTGCCCGGAGGCGGAGGTGGCATATGTTGCTGTTGTTGAGGCGGTGGCGGTGCAGTAGCGTTGTGTGGAGGGTACGGTGAGTGATGTTGCGGCTGCGAGTGCATCCCTGGTGGTTGCTGCGGTTGCTGGAACTGAGCCAGCTGCTGTGGAGGATCGGAAGCATAGGGTGAAGTATACGTAGAAGGTGTAGTCTGAGCAAAGGCGGGCGGAAGATTGTTCCGTAACGGACTGAGGATGGGGAAAGGGGCCGAGGCTGGGACCGCCTGCGGCTGAGGGTGAGGAGGAGGATACGGGTCTTGATGACGAGGAACAGCCGCAGCAGGTGTGGTAGCAGAAGAGGCAGGAGCTGGCGTGGGAGGAGCATAGGTATTCGGAGGCATGGTCGGGAACTGGAAATGCTGGTTCGCCAGATTCGCTTGTCCATTCTGTGCATTTACATAGGATGGATTCAACGGTGGCATGTATTGCGGCACGGAAGCCGGTACGGATGGAGGCTGTGATGGCGGTGGAGGTGACGGACGTCTCTTCTTTTCCTTTTCAACGGATGCCCCCGGTCGAAGCTGCCACGACCATCCTTTGCCATCTCGTTCGGCGTGCATGAACAGATGGCTGTTGCCGTTCAGGTTGTGCCGTACACTGGAGGTCCAACCTTCGGTCTCGCACTTAAAACGGAAATAGGGGTATTTCAACTTCAGAGCGCGATAGATCTGCTTCAAGGTCATCGGCGTGCCTGCTTCCGTGAGAGCGTCGAAGATCAGGACAGCGTAATTGTACGGTGGCTTTGCCAAATCCTCTGGCGTGTAGGCAGATTCGGGAGGGTAGTTGGGAGAGGGTGACCGTGAAGGTTTGCGCTTCTTGACCGGAGGCGCTTTGATGAACTCTTCCGGGCGTTGTTCCATGGGGAATGGGCCACCCTCGGTGGAAGGCAGGGGATAGTCCATGAGCGTCCCGTCCGGCTTCTTCCGCTTGGTGTACTTGCGCTTTTCCGGCTTCGATCCGGGAGACTCGCCCTCGCCAGGAAGGCTAGGTGTAGCGGCTGCAGTGCCCACCGTTGATGTGGTTGTGGTTGTCGTCTTACCGGCTTTGGATCGATTCGGCGGAGGAGGAGTGACGCCTCCGTTCGCTTCCCGCTTGGCGGCCAGTTTCTGTTCCCTTGCCAACTCCGCACGTTCGCGCTTGGACATGATACCGTCTTTGGGAGGTCGCCCGGGACCCCGGCGACGAACGGGGGGCTGAACGCCATCTCCGGAGCCTTCTATCGAAGGTACCGGTCTTGTGGGGTCGGGTTCTTTGGTCTTTAGAATGAGCTTGGTCGGCTTGGATGTGTCCTTGTTCTCAGCACCTTCGCTGGCACGCTTTTCTGCAGCCCCTTCTGCTTCATTCTCGGTGCCGACAGATGCCTTGGCATTTCCGTTCTCCTCTATCGATGGCTCCTCAACTCTGTCGGCCCCAGTCTCACCAATCGGTACATCGGGAAGCAGAAATCGTATGCGCACTCCGCCGATTTGTATGTAATCGCCACTATGCAAAGGGCGGACTTGACCCGGCGATAGCCAGTCAGCACCGATAAAAGCACCATTTCTGCCCATCACTTCCATTTCAAACAGGTTTTTATCAAAGTTGTAGGCAATCTTGACATGTTTGCGTGAAATGCCTCGGTGACCAGCGGCACTACCGTCAAGAGTAGCAGGAGGGTGAATGGGGATGGTCGGGCAAGCATCGGGTGAGGGTAGGAGAGCGAGTGCGTCTACAGGCTTTGCATCTCCGTTGGTTTCGTGCAGCGATTGCATCGCAAGCGCATTGTAGTCAGTAGTGGATTGGAGTTGAGCCGGCGTCGCATGTAGCGGAGCGCCCGGTTCGGAGGAGTGCGACGACCTCCGGCTGAGACGTTTAGGAAGATGAGCCGGAATGTCAGGGTCGAATCCCATGATACCACCTCGGTCGCTCACAACGCTTCCTATCATGCCACTGCCCTCGTGTTTTACCCGAATCGGCGTGTGCGATGCATTGCCACCGCTCGAACTTTTCGCCCTTGATGTCCTGATCGCCTGCCTGGCCTGAAACTCCCGCTGATGCGCCGCCCGAGCTGCTCGTACGTCTCGCCCCAGGATAAAAGAGTAAGTGTTGCAGTAAAAATGTCCGTCGTCGAATTCTAATTTGGCAAAAGCCTGGATGCGCGGTTCCGATCCGCCGAGCGAGCCTGGACCATCCTGCAAATGACCTGCCGAATACCCCAATGCCGAGAGGTCAGCAGATTGCGAAAGATAGGCCGCGGTAAGCATCTCATTGTCGAAAGGGTTCTTTCCGGCAGACGCGAGATCGAAAGGCGTGAAAAGGTCGGAGTGGTCTAGGCCCGCCTTGGAGAACATCATAGGATCCGTCAAACCCTCTGCAGGATCCGGCGTCTTGATCATTGCATCAACTTCATGATGCCCAGTTTCCTCGGATTTCGAGAATGACATATCGGCGGGCTTATTTTCGGGATTTTTCTCTCCATCTCCCGGCAAGCCTGGTAAGTCGGTTGATGCGGAAAATTGATCTTGGCCGACAGCCGACTCTGCGGGCGCAGAGATCTCCGCCGAGACACTTGTCGATCCTTGACCACCCAGAACTTGATCTGAATGGGTATTTTGAGAGCTTTCGGTCGGATTGGGAGGGTTATTTGTCGAGGATAAGGATTCTGCAGGTTGTGTTTCAGTGCTGGCGGGAGGCGCAGAAGATTGGTTGCCGAGGAGTTGAGCCAGAAGGGCGCTGGCGGCGGACTGACGGCGGAGATCGTTCTGATAATCTGGCTGAGCACCAGCGAAATCGTTTCCTGCATCACTGGGCTCCGATTTGATGCCATTCATGCCGGAGACGGAAGGTAAACTGTTGGGAGGAGAGACTGGACTGTTAAAGGTAGAATTGTGCAGAGCGCGGATTGCGGAGTCGCTGCGCGGGGAGAAAGGGCCGTTGTCTCGCTGTTGCTGGTGGTTCTGGTGTTCCTGCTGCGGCTGCTGTTGGCCCTCTTGGTGATGATGATGGTGAGGGCGGCCATAGTCGTACAGGGACGACATATCTGGACCAGCATCAGGAGGTCGATGGCCCACCGCTGGCGCTGTCATGGTCTGCGACGACGACATGACAGGCTGCTGGGTAGGGTACTTTGGATGCTCGATGCTGTCTGGAAGGAGACGGACAGGCAGGGAGAGGAGAAACAGGGCGGTGAGAAGAGGAAGCCATTCAGAACGGAAGTTTTGGCTGGGGAAGAATGGCCGGATGCAGATGCTGATTGGAAGGAAGTGAAGTTTTCTGCTGTTTTTTTTCTGCCGGTTTCTGGCGGTGCTGCCCTGGTCACTGTCGTTCGCCGTATATTCGTTCTACTTTATACCTACCTACAGAGTAACACATGCTACAATAATAGGCTTGGAATGCAGGCCTCCCATTACTTTTGTTCATCTCAAATCAATTCTGGAAGTTGGCACAGAAGAACTTGGCTAAATATGAAAACTTCATTGACTGTGACTGCTCATACTCTGTAGAGTATGAAATTTCTTTCTCAAGGCCCGCCCGCCCATGTTTCTTTCGCCTGATGAATCCACTTCTTCCCTATGGTTCACTGCTAATTCGTTGAGAGTGAGAAATTCAAGACTGAATCCGATCCTATTTCTGACCTTTGCTCCCATGGTCCTAGAAGTGAACTACGGGCTTTGAGATCTAGCTTTTCCTGACTATATCTCCTTGGTAGTTAGCTATAGTAAAATGATGAAATGTGTACACGAGAGATCCATCGCTATGTAGTGGAATCAATATGCCACGGAAATTCCGAATAGAATTGTTACATAGGAATAGGAGAGATACTGACTGAGAGAAATGCTCTTCAATGTAGAGGACTATAAATACCTGATGAATTTGTGTCGTACATTCTTTGGAGCTCTACTTCTACTTCTTCACCTACTTCAACATCGCCACAAGAATAAAAGATCAGTCTTTGCAGCTGTATATACTCAAGGGAACTTACTACAGAACCCAATCTCTACAAATCTCAGAACCAAAAATTTCGATACGTTGTATATCGAAGTATGTCTATGCCAAGAACTATCCTCCATCAGCTTCCATACGAGGAGCCTAATCTAACGACCACCACACCCACAAAAACAGCATCAAAACTACCTCAAACTTAGGTACAACACTCAGACGAAAAGAAAGAAAGAAAAAAAAAAAAAATGCCTCCCAAATCCAAAAAAGGACCCCCCAAGCCCAAATCCCAACCTCCAGAACAGCCAAAACCCAACTGGCCCCCCCTCCGCCCCCTCATTTCCTCCTCGGACCTTTCCCTAGAATCCCTCCTCCACGACCAAATCTACCTAATCCGCAATTTCCTCCCCTCCTCCCTCTGCAAAACCTACGCCTCCTTCCTAGCCTCGCTCCCACTCACCACCACCCCCGGCAAACCCAGAAAGGGCGAGGCCGTCCGCGTCAATGACCGGTTCCAGGTGCAGGATGCCGACTTCGCAGAGAGGCTGTGGAGCGGGACCGCGCTGAGGGAGCTGGTGAGCGGTGCAACTGACGACGACCAGACTGGCGGCGGGCGCTCACGCTCAAACAGGGAGATCTGGGGCGGGGAGCCGCTGGGTCTGAATGCGAATATCAGGATATATCGGTATTCGAGGGGGCAGTTTTTCGCGCAGCATTGTATGTTATCTTCCCCCCTCCTTCGTATTTTTCTTTTTTTCCTATAGATCCAGTGATGGGGACAAGATGGGCTGAGGGATTGCTAGACGATGACTCGAATGTGGTTACGTTCGAGTCCGCTCGAGATAAGCCGCAGCAGGCTCGCACGACCTGGACCCTCCTGGTCTACTTGACGAGCTGTACGGGCGGCGAGACAGTCTTCTACCCTGAGCCGACCCGCGCGGATCGCAACCCGGAGCCTATCGCGGTGGCGCCGGAGGTGGGCATGGCGCTGCTGCATCGGCATGGGGAGAGGTGTCTCCTGCATGAGGGGAGAGAGGTCACCGAGGGTGAGAAGTGGGTTTTGAGAAGTGATTTGGTGGTTGCACGGTGATGGAGGTGAGTTAACCTTTGTCTACTTCTCGCTCGGATCCTGAGTGCCAGAGGCTGTTGTGTTTATAGAGTTGCTTATTGGCGTGAGTCGAGAATTCTCTGGAGCCAGTCTGATCATTCAACGAGCGGAATATTTGTCAAACACTCGTTCAGAAACCAAGCCGAATAGGACCGGCTTGTCAACAGCATTCAGGCATGTATTTGCACAAGTAGGAAACTAGAGTCACAATACAGGATGTCGGCACACCACACGTCCTTCAATGCTCTTCAGACAACCCCTAAGGAACAATTTCGAATAGCAGGCACTGAGATGCAATGATAATAGGAAATGGTTTAGATGTTTCACCCGTGTAAAGAAGGACAGGATGATGGAAGCTGGAAAGAGACGAGGCCAAACCTGATTTCGACTCACACAAGCATCAAACCCACGCAAATGAAGAGTTATGCAACTTAGTCCTCGGTGTGATCCCAACACTTGAAAGGTAAACTACTATGTCGGTAACAAGACAGCGAAACCCGAATGCTCCATCGGAGAGCTTCTCATGTTCATCGTTTCATATTCCCAAGACCGAGCCTGCCTTTACCTTGTCCGATGAGCCCAAGAACGAACGATAAACGAGGTACAAGAACAAGAACTAAAAATGATGATGACCACGCGTGTCTCCACCTCGACCAGTTTATTCAATCTATCGGATCGCATCATGAGGGCGAAGGCTTCGCCGAGTATTCGGCCCTTCTCATAATATCCTCCACCGGCCCCAGTAAGCGTTTGAACCCATCGCGACCAAGTCGTGCAACCTTGACGTCGGTCTTGGCAACTACGCTAGCGGCACGAGGTTTGTCGTCCAACAAGGCGAGCTCGCCGAAGAAGTCGCCCCTCTTGTAAGACTTGACGGGACCCTCCACATCCTTCTTGAAAGCTTCCGCCTCCCCAGACTCAAGAAGATAGAAAGCATCGCCTGGATCGCCCTCGTCGATGATCGTAGAGCCAGCCGGGTATTTGCTCGCATCGAGCGCATCCGCAATCTTGGCGCGCTCATAGGGTTTGAGAGAAGATAGCAATGGCACCTCTTCCAGGAAAGCCTCATACATGCGGCGTCGCTGGAAGGCCGAGTCCATGAGAATCCGACGGAAAGTGATGCGGTCCAAAGCCCAAAGCGTGCTTTTGGAGTCTGCCGAGACAACAGTCGCGGCTCGGGGTGCGTTGTACATGAGGGCTAGTTCACCAAAGGAGCCCCCAGGACCAATGCTGCTGACCTTGTTGCCCATGCCATCGGGGCCTGGTTGGACAGAGCCCGCGGGGTTGATATAGACATCGAATTGGCCATCCTCCACGATGTAAAAGTAATCACCAGCATCTCCCTGAGAAATTACCTTGATATCCTTTGCAGGAATGGGTTTTTCGACCAAAGCGTCGAGTACAGTCTTGAATTGGTCATCGTCCAGGTGAGAAAACAAGAAGTTGTTGCTCACAGCCGTCTTCAATCGCGAGAGCTGTTCTTCGGTCTTCGGATGACATGGGGGCGTCCAGCTATCTGAGCCAGCAGAGGTAGGATTCAAGGACTCGGCGGATACAGAGGTGCGACGGCCAAGCGCATAGTTGTTAGGGAACCCTTGGTTGGCGGCTGCCGTTGGGCGAGCTCCTCCAGGAGGTTCCGGATGTTCGCCTTGACCTTCGCTCCCCTGGCCAAATCCTGCATCAAAGGGCCTGTTGAACTGTATCCCTTCACCCCCTTCACTGGAGCCACTACCTCCAGGGAACGTGTTTCCAGCTGTGGATGCTGTAGCGGCGGAGTTTGCACTGCGGAAAGTGGGATCGGTTGGTGACGTCACCTCATATTCATCCTCTTCGCATATCTTCTGAATGGGAGAATATTTGTCGTCTTTAGTGCTGAGCTTAAGGAACGGGTTTGTACCCGGGAAAGAAGAGCTATCAGCCATCCTGTAGGCTGTAGGGCCGGAGATGGTACAGCTCCGGCCAACTTTGGAGCGGGGGAAGGTAGAGAGGTCGGTTATTGCAGGCAAGAGCTGCTGGAAGGACAGAGAAGAAAGTGGTCTGTAGGAAGTTAGAAGGCAAGGACGACAGATCTCGAGCTTCCAATTGGGAAAATAGTGGATGACAGGTCTTTTATGATGGACAAATGTCGGTGTTGGAGCTGCAGAAGATGGTGGTGGTGAGGAGGGGCGGGGAGTTGAGAGACACACACAGCAACCGTCTCCGCCAAAGAGTGGGTGGGTATCTGAAAGTGAAGCCTAATTGGAGAGTTTAAGAACGCAGCGACCCGAAGATGATCGTATGCTTCCTTCTAGAGCTCCTTCTCTTTGAGTAATGAAACAGCAGAATGCGCGATTGCTTTTTCTTTGCTCCAGTGATCCGAAAGAGATGAAAGACGTTGCATACACAATTTAAAGCGGGGAGTTTTTGGAAGAAGGTACGACAAACAAGAAGTACGAAACCAAAGAAAGGAACAACAAAGGACAGTTGAAGCTTGAGAGAAACGGAATGGAGCTACCAGACCTAAACTCTGTCTCTTATATTGACGGGTCGCGTGAAGAGTTTCCTGAGAGACGGACGTATGAGGACTCTAAATGAGCCGAGACAAGGATTCAGAGAGGCGACACCCGGTAGCCGAGGTGAGACGGTTCAATCAGATAGGGGCAGGGGTAGTGGCAGGAGAAGGAGGCGAGGAAAGGTAGAGAGAAACTCTGAACAAAGTACAGAGGAAGATGGGAGAGGAGCAATACCTAAAGAAACTGATCCGGAGGGGTTGCAGAAAGGAGGAGGGGAAGGATCAGTGGAAAAGGCGGGGAGCAGCAGGAAGTGACGGAAAGCTTGCTATGGCTTGTGCTTCTACATTCTGGGTGGTAGAAGAAAGCCCTATCCAGAAGACGATCAATTTCAACAAGGGTAAATCAAGTATTCTTCAGCTACCTAGCTATCTACCATAACATCTACTCATGATCATCGCGATGGATAGACTTGATGGCAAGTCGTCGGCTTCTGCATCACACCAGGTTGGATCGACGTCACGGATTGCCTGCTAGCCCATACACTACGCCAATAGTCGATGGTGCGATGTGCAATAGTCTGATCTTGAAGAAACGATAGGAGGTTACGGAGTAGGGAGAGAATAATCAGCGCCTCCTTAAAGAAAGAAAGAAAGGGACCCATCTGACTTGGTTCTTTTCCTTCTTAGCTATCCGGAAAAGGCTAACAATGAAAATCATGGAATGGAAGTTTCCATTGGAAATGTAACTCTCTTCCAGATGTCTTCTAGAACATTTGAATGGGGCCCTAAAAACAGATTCAAAGTTTAGAACCATTCCCGAGAGGACTCCGCTGAGTATCTAGATTGCTGACAGACATTAGGGGATGAAAAAGGGGGTGGGGGGAAAAGAGATAGAGAGAGCTCTTATGCAGAGTTCATTAAATCATGTTTATCTCTGTAGTTATGCCTCCTATTAGTGATAATGAATCATTCTTTGGAAATCTTGAATCTATGATGAAGGATTTTGTGGCGAAAGCTATCTACACAAGCTTGGTGAGGTCATGAGTATCAAACGATAATAGTGCTGACGTCTGCTACGGAGTATTGGCTCCGGAGCTTCGTGGATTCATGGTACCAAAGTACAGCTGAACGTCCCGGAGGTTCATTACATCCTGGCTTCTGAGAGATTTGGTTCTCACTGAGCTCCCACCCGTGGATGGATGTCTCGTTAGTTTTTGCTCGAGATGATGGTTGATGGGTACCCAAGATCAAGTGTGGACTCGAGCGATTGGTTCGTGACAGCTTCTTTTCCAAATTGGGATGGATTTTTCCTGCTTTGAGCTGTGTTCTCTCGAGGAGGAAATCATTGCAACCTTTTTACTTGATCAAGAACAGTAGCATGAACCCGTGGTGAGTCTAATGCAACACATAGGCAATAATGTATGGCTCATGTGCGCTCTTTAGTGCGGTGTATCCGAGAAAGGCGACGAGGCGATGGCCGTTGTGACGAGGTTCCTGCAGTTCAGCTTTGAATACCTAATGTACCCCAATCGCATCATACATGTATACTCCGAAAGGAACTTGACTGTTGCATCTACTAAGTAATGATGCGCCTGTTAAAAGGGGAGGTCTTATTACTAAAGGGTATTGAGACTGGGACCTAAATTTCATCAAAATTTGTCCTGCCGCTCCACTGAGAGACTACCTTACTGCTGCACAGCGAAAAAGCTGTACAAAGCACATATTGTTTTTGTCCCGAGTCCAGCCCATCACTGATGAGTTGTACAATGTCCATCATGATAGGAGCATGTAAAACCAGAAGACATGGCATTTCCTCCGAGACCATACATACCTCGTGGATCTCCCGGGTAATCACCATGTCTTGTCTAGATATAGCTTATAATCACCGACCTTGCTTCTTTCACGTTTGGGATAAAGCGGTCTACATGGACTTCTTATACTCCAGCTAAGAACCAGGTAGTTATCAAGAGAAGCGAAAAGTTCCAACTGCCAATTGTCACTGATGCTATCGAGGCCTATCAGAATCATTTCTTGAGGCCGACCGATTCGCCCAAAGGGTCTGTGTCACCGCCACCCCGCTCCAAGTTAAAGCTCTAGATCCCCCGGCAAAAAAAAGGTCACTGTGCCCGATTTTTCCAGCCTCTCAAATATCTAATATCTAATAGCTTCGCTGAGAGCCAAAAGAACAAAGACGAAGAAAACAGAAGAGGATTTCGGTCAGACAGTGTCAACACGTTTTCAATAAAAGGCGCAACGCGGAAATTGAGGATCCCTTGCTCCTACAGCTGCAGCAAGTCTCTGCGCAATCCAGCGGAGTACTCGTTCGTCCGACTACCATACATCGCCATCAGTTTACAGTATACAACTACATCGAGCTGGAAGATGGGGAGCTACGCATTCCGATGGTGAGTGAATCGCAAATTTCCTCTCTTAAATCCCGTAGAATTTGTGCTTCTTTTTAGCTGTGGTCTACTACGCCCCAGGCGATGAGGCCCTACGTTGCTGGCTAAAGTCGGGAACTCGGTACACTGATAACGGTTTGTGGATTTGATGGCTGACTGCAACGGCTTCTCGCATACGACTTGATTATAGGCCATATCCTGCGAACGAGGTATTTGTCACCGGCAGCTTTGATGATTGGGGTAAAACGGTGAAGTTGGATCGCTATGGCGATGTCTTTAAGAAGGAGGTTCAACTTCCGTCGGCAGACGAGAAAGTGCATTACAAGGTAAGTAGCGATCTAAAGATTATTTTCTTTTTCCCATCTCACTGCTTGCACTTTATTTCTCTCACGTTCAATGCCTATCAATTTGACGCGGACACCCCGGGACAACCATATTTATTGCATGACCTTTTCTGTCTGCCTACGCACCCCCATCCCATCAATGACGCTGGAAGGCTTTCCGCTTACTCCCACTGACGTCATATCACCGCCTCGCACCTTGGTTTTTCTGGCTCCCCCGTCTTTCAGATTTAGCCTTATAAAACAACCTTCACTTCAGATTAGTTCCTGTCGTGGGCATAACTAACACATTTCTTCTGAATTCAAAGTTCGTCGTCGACGGCATTTGGACGACGGATAGCAGTGCTGCCGAAGAGGACGACGGAAGCGGGAATATCAATAACGTTCTCTACCCCGGTCAACTCAAACAAGCATCGAATTCATCACAAATCAACGGTACCACAATGGCGACCGTTACTCCAGATGAGACCAAGGATTCCGAGAAGAGGGCCAATGCGGCAACCATCTCATCCGCCGCCCCCGGATCGACATCTGCAGACCTCGCCAAGGCTGTGCCCCTTGAACAGAGATCCGACGTTCCTGGCACTTTCCCAGAAACTCCTGGACAAGAAGCAGAAACATTTTCTGTCAACCCTATTCCGGCTTCTGGTACCAGTGGCAACCCAATCAGCCTGAAACCAGGCGAGAAGGTGCCCGACCCCAGCACTTTCACCAGCAACACCGTCCAGTCCACTGCTCGGACAGATTCTGCCGGCTACACGCAAGATCCCAGTGCTGCAACTGTTCTCGCGGGCGAGTCGACGAAAGCCAGCGACTTCGCAGTGCCTCCTGTTTCCGGAAACATGATTCCTGAATCAAGCCTCCCCATGGGTGAGCCCAGTGCTACCATCCAGTCTGCAGCACCCACTTCCACAACTGCCGCTCTTGCTGCCGCTGTCCCACTCGAGTCTCAAAGGCACCAGGCGAACGCTGGGGGGATAGTCGATGAGGTTCCGAGAGTCGTGAGGGAATCAATTGCCGAGTCCCACAGAGACCCCGAGGCCGCTGTAAACAAGGAGGCTGTCGAAGAGAAGAAGGAAATGGAGAATGAACTTCAAAGACGAGTCAGCAAGGAAGAGTCTACTGGTTCACCTGCCCCGAGCACCACTGCTGGTTTTGCTGCAACTCAAACGAACGGCGGAGCACCTGTCGATGAAGTGCCTGAAGCCGTGAAGCACTCCATTGCCGAAGCTCACAAGGACCCCGAGGCCGCTGCTAATCCGGAGGCCGTCGAGGAGAAGAAGGAGATGGAGGATGAGCTGCAGAAGATGGTCCCCAAGGAAGAATATGCAGGCGAGCCTGCTCCCACTGCCACTGCCGCTACTACTGAGACCGCTCCTCGAGCCACAGGCGTTGAGCCTGAGTCGCAGTCAATGTCTCCCGGAACCGCCACCCCTCAGGGTCCCACCGTTACTACCGGTGTTGCCTCGGCGAAGGCCCCGGAAGTTTCTGGTCCCGGAGTTGGTCCCGAAGCTGGTCCTGGAGCTGGTGCCAGAACTGGTCAAAATGAGGGCACGACAACCCTCATGCCTAGCACAATTCCCGATAAATCTGCCGCTCCTTCCGAGCCCCAGACCGCTGCGACCTCGACACCGTCACAACCTACGACTGCTCCTGCCACCACCGCTCCTCAGGAACAGACAGCAGCCACCACTAACGGTCAGTCCAAGCCAGCGGGCCAGAGCAACGGCATGAAGAATGGATTCAGAGAGGAGAAGAAGAAAAAGAAGAGCTTCTGGTCCCGGCTCAAGGAAAAGCTCAAGTAGATGCGCACAGGCCATGTTGTTGGGCAGGAATGATGGATGATACCAATGGCGGGTTGATTTCTCTGGATACCTTTATGCTTGCACTTTGTTCATGATTGCTTCGTATACCTCTTGTCCTTTTCTTGTTCAGAATGGTAATGGTCGATAATATAATGAGCTGCAGATGATTTCTCACTTGCGAAGTTCCAACACTAATCATTGTCATTGTCATTACCTCGATGATTACGAAATATAATAAATAAAGCTAGACTGTGCCCCTAGTGGGAAGTAGAGCAAGGCCCGCTGAATTACGGCGAAACTTGATCTTTTCCAGAGCCCAATAACATGATGGTCCCACCTGAGTGTTGCTGTAATGAATATGCTAACAGCAATCGACTTGACAAGCTGAGAGTCTGATACATGTCAGAGACTGGTTTTTCAGGCCGTGGATCGCTGCCGGGACAATGATGATGTTGCAAATCTCATGAATAATGGTGAGGACATTTTCTACGGCTGGAACTTTACAAACCTCTACGAAGACAGAATCCAGACTGTTGAGTCTCGACGTGCTCCAAGTGTTGTTGCATATGACCAATGCATCGACTGGATTAAGCTTGTTGTTCACCTTGCCCAGGCGTCTCTGCAAGTAGATGCAGGGCTCCGCCGTTTCTCACCGGCAATGTTCCCGGCATCGATCTCGACATTCTGCATCGGATCTTTAACGGCAAATCAGGTCACTTCGTCCTCAACCTGTTGGCGATCTGACAGGAGTAGAAAAGAAAGCTCGGACGGAAAAAGGCAGAGGCAGAGAAGAAGAACGTTATCTCCGCGCGCCTTTCTTGGAATCCTGAAAAGACAATAATGATAGTAGATTGTCTCATCATTTGCCTTCCTGAATCTCAAGCTCTTTCCGCTTCAGCAACCAATCCCTTAAATCAAACGAACCGTCGCGAAGGAGGGACACATCGTCGCACCAAACGAATGTTTCCGCATAAGAGCTCGAACCATCATCAAACCATACAGTACAGCCGTCGACTCGGTAAACGTCGGTCTCATACGAAACCAACCTGCCGACCTCCTTTGCTGACTTGATCTTGCCGACTACACCGTGAACAGTTTGCTCTAAGGGCCCCTCCACGAGTGCTGGATATTCTCCCCAGAGCATAATTTTGTGTGCAAAGATGCAACACCGGCGAAGCTCAGGTGTATCGGAACGCCCCAGGACATGCGCAAGAGTCTTGGGGTCCATCAGTGTGCCGTAAAAGAAGTACAAGACGTCTCGGAATGAAGGTCTATATGGGGTGGTGAGGTCTGGCGGATTCTCAGCGGCTCGTATGAGACTTCGAACCATGAGCGAAGGTGGTGGTATGTCTTTGCTCATTTTTCTCTCTAACAGATGGTCGAACTCCGAAGAGATGTTGTTGCGTCTAGCAGCGATGTAGTGAGGAAGAGGATACGAAACTCGATGACTGTCGGCAGCGGCAAAGGCTACCAGTGGTCCAGCCCGCGCCTTCTAGCTCTATCATTTTTGTGCTCGATTCGAAGCTTATTTCTATTCTGAATCCTCTGTACCTGGTGAGAGACGGATCCCTCGCTTAAGTTGGGTTGGATACACTGAATTGTTTCGTCTACATATATATCAGAGCTAACAGTGCTACAATACTACCATTCATTTTTGATTAGATGCTCGAGATATCTGTTTCACTCAGTATATTTTAGATACAGATAGGGAATATACACCTGATATATACGTCAAGATCATCAGGAATAAGTCAAACTATATGGGTATCGCGTTAGAAACCATCCCATTCAACTTGACCGGGTACCCCAACATCCTATAATCAAGTCAACCAACAATCCCTTGAGCAGCTTGCACTTCAGCAAGAACACTTACTCCTTCCCGGTCTTCGTGAAGCAACATCCGCAGAAGAGAGACGCCGGGTAGCAAACAACCTGCGCATGTCAGTCCACGCTTTGCTTCCTTGTCGCGAAGTACAGCAATTTCATACAGCAGCCACAACAGTCGTAAAAAATCCTGTCGAAACGCTCGTGAGAGTCATCCCCTTACCCCTTGGAAGGATCCCATACCTAATGTTGGACCGACAACTTTACACCGGCAGGGATTCTGGTCCGTGCCGCATTGGAAGCAGATGGGGAAGATGGGGATGAAGGGGGCGTCGCACATATTGATCACTGAGTATAGAATAGACTGGCCCCAATCTGATATATGGATGAATACGGCTGGAAGTCGTTCGATGCAATTACTCAAGCGAAACTACTGACATTTGATACTTTGTATGGATGCTTCCTTAACATATGAGAGAAGTCGGTATTGCGCGGATGATTCATGATGACGACAGACAGAGTGCAGAAGGATACTGTTAGGAATGCTGTACACTATGTGCAAGTAGTTGGATCTTGAGGTATTTTAATCCTTCTAGTAACACTATAGCCTTGGAATTCACGCTGCAGGGCATTTTTGACGTGATATTCTGTATAGTCTTCAACTCTGATATCAAGGCGCCGTTGTTGAGTTGCAGCCACACCAGCCACTTCTACAGATCTACCTTAGCTCAGATCATGCCTTACCAATCAAAGCGAGATACCCCTGATCTGAAGAGTAAATATAAAACAACCAATAGGTAACAGGATCAATTGCTCTGTAGTCTCAAACCCTCATATTGACCAAAAAGGGGCATTTAATTACACACTGGACACAGATATCTAGGCACCAGAATTCCTATGCGCCACCCCGCTCACCAAAAAGCCTTGGCGATCAGATTGGCGATTCGCCCTACATCGAACAGAATCTGCCCTCTTTCTCACCCTTCCACATCTAAATTTGGGTATTTCCTCAAGGCTTCCATTTTCCCCCATTTAGTCTCTAAGTAACACTCTCGAAATCAAATCTCCGACTCGAAGCCACAGGTAAGTCTCATGTTCAAGTCATTCAGCCACCTCACCTGATCGACGTCATCCTCTCCACTCAGCTCAGCCCTACGCCTCACCAAAAGAAAATACTAATAGAACACAAACTTCCCCAGAAATCCGGCCTCACTCTCCTCTCAATTCTGAATAACTTACCGCTTCTCCAATTGCTTTGAGCCGAGGCAGAACAACAGGAAGATGCAATCACTTATCCCCCTCATTATCCTCGTCGTCGCCGTCATCGTTCTCTCCGTTGTCGGGTACATTGCGTACAGTATCGTCCAAGAAGTCAGCAAGAATACTCGCTCGAAAATGGAGAAGAAAAACGTCATGTTCACGAAGGATGGAATGAAAGTTGGAGTGAGGGAGCTGAGTGAGGAGGACTATGTGGATCGGAGCCAGAGGTGCGTCTTTCTTTTCTTCTCTGTAGTGAGACTACGTCGAGCGCTGCACGGTGTTGGCAAAACGTAGTCGAATAATTGAGATAATTGTGGCTGACTGTAGCATGTGACAGTATTCTGGTCAACATGTGGAATCATACCTCGTTTCCGGCGTATAAGAGTCGGCTCTGGAATATGACGGGTTCGACGGCGGGGACAGAGACAGAGAAGAGGAAACCGTGAGTTTGGATTTTGCGTTGTTGTGCGCGGCGGGCTCGAGGGCTAATGACGATTTGCAACAGGTACTCGAAATCGTGAAATCGAGAGGTTTGGATGAATTTTCGTCGATACCATTTTCCAAGTTGGAAGATGATAGTGCTGGGTGTTGTTTGGCCCGATGAATAGGGCGATTATGACTATTTTCTTGCTTTCCAAGGAATGAGCAGCATCTATGATGTGGCACGAATTCTTCTCTCTATCAATCATACTGTGCCGATGAGCCTGCTGCTATTTTTCTTTGTCCATGAGAGAATGATCGACGGCCTCGATCTGTCCGAACTGAATGTACAACGGCAACTCCATCTTTTGCTCCGCATGACTGCGGAATACAATTGACGTTGCAGCTCCATGGTGCATCTGTAAATGTCGTGTCTTGAAATCATATGCAAAGTCTGTGGCTACGGACACGATCAGAAGAGTATCGCATTAAGGTCATACCGCGCTTATATCAACTTAGGATGCGCAGTGTCTGTCTACACTCCGTCAAACCTTAATTTCGATACTTTCAAACGGCGAGAATCATAAATTCATAGGCTAGAAGAAATGCATAAATTACTCGGAGCCAATGTATTCAGAGCCCTAAGTCACATTACAGAGTGCGAGGACCCGCACTGCATCATACATGTGCTTGCTACCTGCGGTCAGTTGTCTCGCTGTTAGTCACTCCACAAGGCTGGTTGTTAAGCGTAGCACTGTGCCTGGAAGACTGAGTCTCATCACGACACCGGCATTCTGAATTCTTGCGAGATTCCGACTTCGTATTCTTCAAGTATCTTACCACAGTAAATCAAGTGCACCGCCTACTTGAAAAATTTATCTTCGTAGAGCATAGATATACTATGACTATTTTGTGGTCGTGTGAGATGATGCCACTTCAGGCACGGAACCTCTTTTGCTGTGGTCTCGTCAGCTGCTGAGAGATTGGTGTAGTCTGGGTGCATTGAAACACCAAATAGGTAAGCCAGCCCATAGCTGCTAATGCAATTCAAGAGATCCAACAAGATAGTCGAAAAACATTGTATATCTCTGGTGGTCGAGAGTCGAGACGAGATCAGGAGGAGCTGCGTAAACATGAACAGAGAGAAATATCCCAAATGATCTAACCGCATTAGAAAAAGTGGCTCTTTATCAGAACCATAACTCCAATCAGATAGCATTTGTAGATAAGAACGATTTCTGACTGGCCCTGCTCGAAGCAGTATAAGCTACGCTAATCCTGATACAGTAAATTGCATTATCACAAGCAACCTCAAGCTTTCAGGGGACCCCGCGGAAGAGTGGGTCTGGCTGACCATTTAGGCGTTGCCTCCCGCGCCTTTGGACGAATCACACGCCCACGTGCCAAGGAAATCCCCTCCTCCGCCTGCAGATGACTGCCAGAGCTGGCAGCACGTTGTTGGTCATGTTCTCTCGATAGGCTCCTCCTGCTCGTCCTGCGTAGCCGGTCGAAGTGATAAGCAAGGCTTTTCGGGACTTTCTATGCAAAAACGTCGTATCCAGATCGCATTATTCCCCTCTTTTTATGTCGCTTAGAGGACATGGTCTTTTCTTAGTTCACTTGGGTTGACCTACCGGGTAATGAGGTTGATTTATCTCCACTACGAGTGGTCAAGAATCTTGAATCCTCCTGCCCAGAGGTCCAGAGATTGTGCTTGTGATACTTTGATTCGTTCAGGATTTTTCAGGCCCGGAGCTCGCTTATTCACAAGAGATATAAGAGTGTCGGGACAGACACTTCCTGTTAAATAACTTGCGATGAGCTCGTGGATATTCGATCTAGTCAACACCAAGCCGTCACCTCAGTTTGCGTGAAGATCCGTCTCGAGTGCAACATCCGATTCTAAAATCGTTCGTCTTCTACCAATCCTCCGCACAAGAGAATCGACGCAACATGTCTCTCAGCTCCATTAAAGGATTGCTCTCCAACTACTCGCCAGTCACCGAGTCGCCGGACCTGGAGAAGGAATATCATTACCCACTTCGAAATGGATCCGAAGATCTGGAATCTGCCAGCGGGAGTGATGCAAACAAGCCAGCTCGGAGGGAAGGCACAGAGAAGAAAGAGTCTAAAATAATTGATGGGCGAACAGTTTCGGATGCCATTATCGGTCTATCGGATGGCTTAACGGTTCCTTTTGCTCTCACTGCAGGATTGTCTGCTCTGGGAGATACGAAAGTGGTTGTCTTTGGCGGTCTGGCAGAGCTCATTGCCGGGGCTATTTCTATGGGATTGGGCGGATATTTAGGCGCAAAGAGCGAGGAGTGAGTGCTGAGGTGTCTAACGCAGATTCTTTTAGACGCCTGGCTGATATTCCGCTTCCAGGGAATCCTACCGAGCTACCCTTAAAGAGACTCGAAACGAAATCGTCGCAGACCCATCCGCTACAACAGAGACCATCTCCGAAATCTTCGCGCCCTACGATCTCCCGTCTGAACTTGTCTCACAACTCACCGATCACCTGTCTGCCTCTCCCATGCTCCCTTCGTTTCTCATGAACTTCCACCACACGCTTCCTGAACCGTCCGGCTCCCGTGCACTCATCTGCGCTTTGACAATCGCGTTAGGCTACTTCATTGGCGGGTTCGTGCCGCTGCTTCCTTACTTCTTCGTCGGCCCGCATGATGCATTCATCGCGTTGCGCTGGTCCATTGCCACTATGGCTATCGCCCTGTTTCTCTTCGGTTACGGCAAGACATGCTTCGTGAGCGGTTGGAAGGGGAGACAGAATATCCGACGAGGATTCATTGGTGGCTTGCAAATGGTCCTTGTGGGGGGTGTCGCAGCCGGGTCAGCAATGGGACTGGTCAAGGGGTTCCAATTGCTCGCTTCCTCCGGTGAGGGTCATGACGAGCAATAAGGCTCCTCGTTCTTCTGTTTTATTTTGCTTCAGGCGTTGGATAGGCGGTAAAATAGTTTCGGTTCCGGTTGTAAATATTCATAAAGGGAATCTGATTATGGCGGGCTCATGGTCGAGAATGAACAGTACACGAAATCAAGCCAGCCTGTATCTCACCTAGCATATCCGGCAGACGCCTTATTGCGCAGATCAGATCCAATGTCGTTGGGAACCTTCTCAACCATGAGCATATATTCCTTTACAGCCAGCTGCAAGCCTCGCCTGAGTCATCTACTTCTGGCGGGCAATCATTATTCGCTGCGGAGCAGTCCTGAGTGTCCCACCCTAACTAACGGTTACAGCCAGCATGCCAGGCGGTGACATTCCAGAAGCAAGTGATTGCTTCCAAGTCTGTTCTCTACATTCCGCGCATCATCCTAGATGACATCATCTCACATCGAATCTACTATCATCAAAGGGCTGGTGAGGTCAGAAAAGGCGGTGGTTGAGGCAGTGCGGATACGTATGAAGCTAAAGCGTGAGATTGTTTACTGTGTAGAAAGGCATACCAACGAAAATAGATATTCTTAAGGACTTACGCAGGGTGTGTAGGATACAGATGGTTTGCTGATCAAGGTCAGGTATCACGGGATGTTCAGGAGCAATAGAGAGGTACCAGTAACATAATCCAAAACCCCTACAAAGCGGTAATGATATACTCGTTTAAGACGAACAATTTGAAATGTCTGTGAGTAATACATCCCTCGAAGTGAGGGATGAGTATCTGGTAATTAGCATGATATATCTGAAATCCCCAGAATGCAAGGTTGCGGCTTGCACTCCGTGTTTTGCCGTTCACCAGAGATTCAAATGGACGATGCATGTGGCTTTTAAATATGATCATGATTGGGAGAATTGATACGATCAGACGACGGTACGGAGTACAAGGTACAGCGCGATGCAATCACCTAACAGCTGTCAGCCACAGTGATGTTGCGATGACCATCTCATTTCAGATTTTGTCTTTTCAAGAACAGCTTGATCGTTCAGAAGGTCATTCCTCGATATGATGCATGATGATGTAGTCAGGAGGTGGAAGAAAGATGCGGCGAGTACTCCGTGCATCGATCACTGCATATTGAGTAATATTTCAGTCCGCCTCCAAATCAAAACATACTACTGATTTAGTACTCTCTCTTCCATATCCCGCATTATCAAGTTTGATTAGGGAGTAGTACGAATACTCATCCAGATGATGATTTCGTGGCTGTACCTGACTCCGTGGTGATTCCTTGATTCGGCCCAGATCCGCTGGATCGTGGCTCATCATGCTGGTCCAAGCTCCTTTCATCTCGGCGAATCCACTTCACTCCAGGCAACCGCCAGATAATCAATCACTATTGAATAATGAACGAGTACGAAGGGAACTCCTGAATAGCTGCGAGTAAATATAGATCTTCAAGGCTCAGCTTTTAGGAGTAACCTCATGTCTTTGTTAGTAGACCCAGTCATGCAGCAACTGACTCCTGGGGCCAAATTGGGCGAGGCGGTTTTCTGAAACTACCTTAGACAGTGAGACTTAATCTTATTAATGTCAATCAAGATATAACGCTTTGATATGGATTATTACTATGAGGGCTGTATGGCAGGTACGTAGCGCCAGAGACAATTTGTTGCTTACCTTACGTACTTCCATGCCATCACTCATCTGTCTGCCATTTCAAGCCGAAAGAGATCAAAAAAGGAATATGTACGGAGTAGGACCATGCATAAAAGTGTGGAGTTTGGGGCACGGAATAAAATCAAAGGGCCTTTGTGCACATTGGTCAAACATACACCTTCGGGTGCAGAACTTTTTTCATCACACATGCGGCTTGCCGGGTTTTCCAACTTGACGGCTGTAAATGTCTGTATTTGGTATTGTAAGTATGTAAAATATGTAATCTATCAGATACAAAACCACACTGTATTGTCATGTGCGATCCCGTTTTCCTTTTTTGGGAAAGAAACTCGTGTGCCCAATCTTTAGGTGCCTTTAAATGGAGAACTACCTTACTAGAACTCCTGCTCTCTAGAATTAGTGATCAATAGACTTGTTCATCATCACCGAGTCTGAACAATCAAGTCTAGAATAAGGCTTGTCATGTTCTCCACGCTGCAGATAGTCTCCTGCCGATATGAATAGTCTCAGGTTGTGCAATC